AACGTGTTTTGAAATTTTGTTTGGATTCTGAAGAACATTTCAGAATTCCAATCAATACTATCATGAACGTTCCAAACATTCCACTTTTTTCAAAGACTAGTAGCTTAGATAAAAGAACTATAGAATAGTTTATGTTATGAGTTGTTTACCTGAATTAATTCGAAGTCAAAGGGTCATGCTTTGATAGAACTAGAGTCGGGTGCTTGTGCTTGTTATTCACGTTTCTACTTACTGATTATCTTCAATAATGTCTAATTACCAAATAAGTGTGTAGTATGTTTCACTCTACATGGTATTGGCTTATCAACTACAATAAACTACCTGGTTCAATTCCATTGTGTAGTGTAGTATAATATTGTGATTCTCTTTTCTTGATTTGATTCGGGTTTTACAACTTGAGTGTCTAATTGGTTTTATTATAGTAATTGTTTAGCCAATACCAAATACCGTGAAACCTACTATACGTATCACTTATTTTTGAACCGCAGAAACTTAACAATTTCTGTATCTCTAAACATGTATGAAAACAAGAAAGAACATCAGGTTAAAGAAGAGCACATATCTAACATTGAGATACTAAGTAACGGTGAACGGTGCGTATAATAGTGGGTTCTATCTTCTAGATTTTTCATCATGAGTCGTAGGATATTGAAATATGATTGTGACTGAATATTAAAACTTTGCATAACGGCTTCTACAGAAATTCAATATTATGATTATGATAGTAACTATAGCCTAACTTTACTAAAACAACTCAAATTGATAATATTAACCAATTAAAACTCACCACTACGATGAACACATATTAAGTAAGAGACTCTGATTCACAGAACTTCATGAAAATAAAACAATTAAGACTCCTCTTCGAATAGATACCAACAGTGTATTTACTTATGATATCCAGAAACCTCAAGATCATGATCGAAATTTATTCGTATGTTATTAAATTTCAATGATGAAAAAAAAAACGCAATGTATTGGTAATGCATCTTGCCGCATCAAGTAGGTTGGCTATTGTTGACAAATACGAGTCTAGTCATTTACGTACTCAATTCATAACTCATAATTTTGAGCCATACTCAAGAGATATTACTTTGGCAAATGTAAAGTTTGTTATGAAGCAGACAATATTTGAGGTGATGTGCAAAATGAAAGTATTTTTTATATTTTCCTCTGTATTTTCTTGTACATGAGCGGCTTATTTCAATGTATCAATTGATTTTTAGAGAGTCCCATTGACTTCATTTCTAAATATTCTCTCAACTTCAACACAGCATATAAAAATTTACTAACTTCAGAGGCCCCAAAAAGCGTGTATTTTCAGTTGCTTTTTCATATACTGACCTCAAAGAAACAATACAGAATATATTTTTATAATACTTAAATATCTCCAGACTTATTGGAGAAAAATTACACACATTCACACAATGATTAGTGGGAAATGAACGACAATATCTACCAAGTAACAAAGTAAGATATTTTGAACAGAAAGACACATTTTCCTTGATGAAAAACTGTCATTACGAAACTGAGACGCGGAAGCAGCCGATATAAAATGTCGTAGAAGTAAATTACGTTGTTTTTCATTTCGTCCGCGTTCGGCGCTTTTCATCTGTCGGAAAACTCTGATAAAGACCGCAACGTATTGGCGTGATTTTTCAGGCTTCAGAACCAACTGGTAATCTTCGAGGCGTGATAATGCATCCAGAGATTAGTTCTTTTTCCATTTCCTGCTTAGAGATTCTTTATTCACTGAGGCGCGCCGGCATACTTTGTTATTTAAGGATGATCCGAATTCCACATAGTGGGATTATGTTGGGTAAGGAAAGGGCACGGTGGCTCATTGCTAGTGATAAAAACATTGCAGTAAATGAGAAGAAAACACTGGTGATGTACCAGAGAACCAGCAGTGCTTCAAAGGTTACACTGGTGCCAAATCATGAAAAAGGCACAGGACTAAGTCATTTCGAAGAATTACTGGACGTAACAGACTATTCAAACTTTCCTTAAATAGGTCACATTACGGTTAGAACTTGCACTTTGTGGCTATACACAATAACGTCTCGAAAAAAAATGTACAATAACGACTCGAAAAAAAAAATTGGAACAGATTATGTCGAAAAAAAGTAACATTTGACAGAAAGGCTGCATTTAGTGCTGCGAGGTTGGTAACATTAGCTGATTTATCTTTGAGAGCTAGCTGACGTGTCAAAAGTTACAGAAGACGTGAGATAATGCTCGCCAATGGTCGGTTTTGAACGTTAACGGTCAGTTATGATACGTCAACTGTCAGTTTTGATATACGTCACGTGTCAGTTCTGATGCCTAAACTGTCAAAACGTAACATTTTATTACTGAAGTAACGCCAGGAACAACATTGGTATCAGACCCAGGACAGAGATATCAACCTGTCAGCTCTATGCGACTCATTTCAAAATTTTTTGATGGTGTAGGTTTGTGGAAAAATGAGGAAAAAATAATAATAAACTCTTTACGGTATTTTCGGCAAAAATGGTTTGATGCAAATCTGCAACACTATGAAAATTGCTCGTTGACTCGTTGGTTTATTACTAATGAAGTAGGTAGTAGTTTTTAAATTGTGAATAAAGATTTGGTGAATCATTCATGGAATGACACAAACGAACACATCTCTTTCCATATTCATAATTCGTTTGTATCCTTTACAATATGAAATCTTGGCATCTTTGTCGATTTGACTAGTATTTTATCCCGTGCGAGCTTAAATCAAGTAGTAGTGGACTTGACTCAGATATATGTCATACTCCAAAAAAAAATTATCAAGTATTGTGTAAAAATTATCGTTGGTTTACTTGTTCTAGTAATTCATCTGTGAAAAAATATTTGAAATAATTGTAGAGAATTTCCAAATCTAACATTTGTTGAGGAAGTATCTTGTTTTATATTGTCAACATCATCTTATTCAGTATCATCATCAGCTTTTCTGTCATCATCAGAGTGCAGATCCACTAAACTATGCCCAATTGTCAGCAATCTCAGGTTATTTGCTAGCTGAAACTCACACAAAATATTCACATCAGATAGAAAATGTCATGGTGTTGCCACTTTTTTTTTATCGACATCCAATTTTTTTCATTGTAATATATTAGCAATAACATTGTTAGTACGAAATATATATTTCTTATGCAGTTTATTTTCACGTTAGATTGCAAATGTTCACAGAAATATCAAGTAGGTAAACACTCTATTTGTCTCGCTATAGTGACAATAATGACAACTTTTCCCAATTTCCTAACCTCTCCTGATGCCACCTGATCATGAGAAATCTATCGTTGCAAATTTGCAACACTATGAAACACGAAGATTAGGTTAAGATTTCAACTTTTTTTTAAACAAATTTCATTATTTTTTGGAATCCTTGTGAATAATATCAGAAGTGATATTTGTCTCAAAGAAAATAAGTTGAAAAGTCAACAGTTTTTTTACATTCCTCCCCCTTCTGTTCTTCTTGATACTGTACACTACAAAAATGAAAACTTTTCATATCCACCTTTGATCTCTTCTTTATTTAGAACGAGTTTTTGCTGTCTCCGTTAGTATAACACGCTTTGTCATGCAATACAGAAAGCGACTGAATCGAATCAAAATATGTTCTAGACGAATTTCGAAAGGTCCTTGCAAACGAAATGTTTCACGCTTGGCTCGAGCTAAAATTAGCAAGTATCCCAGTTAACTGACACTTCAATGTTGTAAACATAAATAAAAACCCAAAACATAATACCCATAAATTATACAAAAATAACAAGCCTTTATCGATTCCCATTCCAAGTAAGTGAAGTTCAATGGTCTTACATTGCGTTGTAATAATAAATTATCTGGATTGGTTTGTTGAGAGTGTATGTATGCAATCAGTAATACGTGGGGTTCAATGAGGTTTGTTTTTGCTCAATGTTGAGACAAACATATTGAAGGTGCATGCTGCGTTTGAGTTCTGATTTATTTATGTTGGGATTGTTCCAGAGTGTTTTTGGTTGTAGGTTGATACTACTGCACATTGTGTAAAAACAAATGAAGAAATAATGTATGTTTTGACATATGCAATTTTTATGGAGATGTACAGGGCCGGACTTGACCATCTAGGCGCCTCAGTCACTTACATGACACCTTGTAACATATAATAATACGTATATAGGTAATATAAATATACGTATATTAATTATAACTTTAATTCAACAGCCTGTATTGTCAATCAGTCGATATCAGACAGACGAAATATTTGATGAAAAATTAATACAAATAAAAAAGAATGTAAGCAATACTAGCGAAATAAACAACCTTCACTTCGATGTTAAGTTTTTTTCACTAATCATTGACTGTACAAAACTATAGATAATGCCGTTCTGCCTCGGATTTGACTGGCCTTTTTGCTGAACAAACTGAATACTATTTACCACATATTATAATAATAAAGTTTGTAGATGGAGAATTGTTTTATTTTTACTGATATTAAGTGTGGTCGATATAAATATAATCACGAACCTAACCTATGATTTAATTCACGTTTCTCACCAACCTTTCTGGTTGGTAGAAATATTACTTGGTGGATTAAATTGTTGGATATAAAAACAAATCTAGCTGGTACACCTAATATAAAAACCCACCCAACTGGTGGAAATAAAAACGTACCCTTTGTGTTACATTCATGAATTTATTCTCATTGTAGGCTAAGTTGGATTACAAGTTATATTTTGTTTTATTGAATACATTTCTTCATACATACTTCATGTGGATCATGCAAGGCCGTTGTGGTCTCTAGACTCAGGTCATCAATATACCCATCAGTATAAACAACAAAAGTAGTATCTATGAAGAAAATATATAAAATAAATTTCACTTATTTTGTAACTTATTTGAACACCCTTATAGACATACTATATTGAACATCTTCAAGGGTAATTTTCATTGCATGTGATATTTGCGTGTTTTGAGCAATAGATGAATGGTTTTTTCTCTTGTTTAAGGTATGCGAGTATTTGGGCATCTCCAACGAATCTGACTATTTCGGCCTCAAATACGAAAACAATAAGGGGGAGGAATTGTGGCTGAATTTGCGGAATCCAATAGACAGGCAAGTCCACTGCCATGGACCAACGAATCCATTGAGACTGGCTCTCAGAGTGAAATTTTGGGTGCCCCCACATTTATTACTGCAAGAAACGACTAGGTGAGTTCGAAACTATCTAAACGTTTTCTCGTAGAAAATGGGGTGGTAAGCAAACATTGAAATTTTGTATGGTCGAACTCTTAGTTCTCAGTCTAAGGAAGCTTTTCCATAAGTTAATCTCATAAATTTTAGATATAATATAGTTTTGCAGTTATATAAGAATATATTTACATGTAGTCTAATGAATTAGGAAATATTGGAATGATGAATGTCACCAAAACGTGTGAATTCTTTCAACATTTGTATCAGTTTCAAGTGAAAAAGCAATGTTTTGTAATACTACTCTGTTCAAAAAATAAGGTGAAATTTTATTTTTTTCTCAAAAAATATTTAGTTATTCATCAATTTCTATTTTGTCCCCTCTATCATTGAAAATAAAAATTATATTGTTAGGACATGGCGATTCGATAAAAGCACTGTTTTGTGTGAGGCCTTTTATTGAATGTAACATGAATGATCATATGAGATCACGAGACAAACAATTTGGAAAATGACAAAGGCAGCTCAAACCCTCTGCGAGTAAATTGCGATATCAAGTCATAAAAACCGATTGGTTATACCATATGCAGGTTATACCATATGGAATTATTTGAGAATAACAAGCATAGTGAACAATAATTCTTCAAAGGTGTAGATAACATATTTGCCTTGGCCCATAAGTGTAATTGAAAATCAAATGCTACATTATTTGAATGATGAGAGGTTATAATTTATTGTGATTAAAGTTCAAATTAAATTAACCGTTTACTCAGTTTTTAATTTCATCTATTATAAGGAGTACATTTTATTTTACATTCATGTCATGTCACAAACAGTAGATATTTATTATATTCATTCTCTACCAGTACAAATGCAATTAGTATCAGCACTTGAAATGAATGCCTAATTAACTTGAACACTAATGAAATTAGCACCATCTAGAACTAATACTTAGCTTTCTGAAAATCAATTCACGATACATCTTCATCTGAAATGACATTCACTGCAAAATGTTGATTGTTCAAATACTGTAATCGCGAAATTAATGTTTATTTTACCAATTTGCAAGTTTTTACTATATTTAGGACCATTAGTTTTTTATTAAAGTGAACGTCTCAAGGAATCGGTGTATTTTCAACTTTGTATTTCAGAATATATAAATAATACATTGTATAAACCGATAAGAATATATATTATTTTTTATTAATTTCAATGAAATAATGGTTACTTCTTTTCGAGTTTATAAGTTCAACCCCGCCCCTTGCCACGGTCATGAACTTGTCCTGTCGTCATATTTATGATGAAGTAGGATGTCTCTAGACCTAGACAATGCTCGAGTAATAGCGTTTTTGAAGAAATAATTTTTCCTATTGAATTGCAAATTGAATAAGTTTTTTGCGAATTTCATTTCGCCTTGCAACTAACTGAGTCTTTGTTTTATTCAAACATTTCAAGACCAGTCACAAAGGAATATTTACCCACGGATGATAATTTTGGTATCTGCTTTTATAAGGTCAATCGTTTTAATGAACTGGTTGAACTGGTGTATATTTGTTGATAGAGCGCCTTTTTTGAAATTGATTAACATTCGCTTATACATATTTATGAGAATTTTACAAAGGCGTATTACCAACACTAGGAATTACATACAATGTACAGAATTAACAGTAGTAGAAGAAACGGCAATAGTTTTACGGACATTTAAAAAAAAAATTATAAGAGTGTCCAATAAATAGATTTTATATAGATTACTTACTAAATTAAAAATGATCTTTAAAAGGTAACAATTGTTTAACTCTTTGTGATGTGCTTACATATGCCTTGAAGTTTTCTCGTTATTATAAAAATGTCAGTTAACAGTTTTGAAACCTAACAGTCAACAATTTTAATATCTGTGATGTGTGTAATATGTAGTTTAAGGAAAACTAGTTCTGCAAGAAGTAAAATTTTACTTAAACTTTTGCTAAAAACTACAAAAATTTCGGTGATACAATCTATCATTATAACTTTATTGGAAGAGATACATGATTTAAAAAGTAACTTTTAGATTGAGAAGTTGTCTCCCGATAAATCGACTTGTCAATAATAATCAGGTGGAAATTATGCAGAACTGCTATGAACTGAAATGAAAGAACATAGTTCCACAAGTATTTATATAGGTCATAAACTTGTAGTCCTATCCAGTCGGTTTTTTAAATAGTGCAGAATTATGAGGTCATTTTTACAATCTGACGAATCCCTATTTTGTATTATAAAAACCAAGATATTTCTTTTTTCTTTCAATTCAATTTTATTGAATGGTATTGAGTTTGTATCTCTGGTATGGTATTTCTACCATTAGTGTAAATTAATTTCCCTTCAAAGACGTTACAGAATTTCCCTTGCCTCATATATCCCTATGTCTTCAGTTGTCTCTATTCTGTAATTTCTCTCTTATACTCCCAGAAAATTTCCTACAAATACAAATATAATACTTTTCTTTTATATTTTGACATCCGTGATTGGAAGTTTCAACTCTATAATTGCATTAAGATCAATACATTAGGAGAAAATCTTTCTTATGACAAAATACTACGGCAAAGAGGCTTGAGAACTTTGTTTTTTTTATTTGTTTCTTCTTTTTCCAGACACCAGTTCTACCTACACTCGAAGGTAGACCTACTGAAGAAACGCCTTCTACCCAAGGACTGGGAAGGGGTTTCCAAACTCATCGCTCTCATAGCCCAAGCTGAATCCGGAGACTACAGGCCTCTGCACCCCCCGCACAACCTCTATGTGCAAGCCTCGTCCATCTCTCCGGCCACTGAAGAGCCAAAACCGATGGATCTTCTCCAGAGGGTCATCCGCAACCACAAAGACTTCGCCGGCATGAAACGCTCTACAGCCGAATACTGGTTGCTCAAGGAGATATCCGAGCTAGAGACCTTCGGGGAGGAACTGTTTAGCACCAAATCGATAGGGGGCACTACGGTTGGCGTGGGCCCACATGGCATCACCGTCTACAAGAAGGACCACCCCAAACAGTTGATTTCCTTCACTAACATCCTCTCCGCTTCTTCGCACAGAAGGACGTTCAAACTTGAGTATGTTTCGATGGACAACAAGGAATCCGTTCTGGAGACCAAGCTGGATTCTAGTCACGTGGCGAGTAGTCTGTACAGGGCTTTGACGGAAAAGCATGCCTTTTATAGTTGTGAAACGGTGAGAAGCGCAGTTACCACACAGTTTATCAGAGATCTGAAGGGGACCATCGTTTCCATTTTTAATGAAGATTCCACTTTGGGAAGGAAGTACGTTTTCGATATCAGAAGGACCTGCAGGGAAGTGTATGATAACGCCAGGAGGGTGCTTTACCAGGAGAATGGGTTACTGGTACCGAAGATTGAACAGCCGGACAGCGGACGTGATGGGGTCAACTGTAAGGTGAGTTGGAATACTTGTTTTAGTACTACTTGGAAGTCCTTAAGGACAAATATACTTATTTCAGTTTCTATTTGAAAGTATCTTATATGCATGATCTAAACATATTTGTGGACTCAATTGTTTTCTTCATTCCTTCATTCAGACATTCATTCATTGATTGAAACACGATTGTGGGGTAGAAACTTTGCTCATGTGTAATTGGCTTGAAAGGTAGCCAGAAATGTATCTGGTCAATCGTGATTGGTTCGAAGGTGTGAGTTTTGGATCATTTGCCTATATACTCAACAAGAAACTGTCACATAACTAAAAATTTTATCAATAGTTACCAAAAAAGTATTTATGTGCAATAACATGAATATCTTTTGTTTCAGGACTCCGAGGAAAAGCTCCACAGACTCATAGAAGCGATGACTTGCAAAATTTGCATGGACAACCAGATTGACGTGGTATTTCTTCCCTGCGCCCATGTCGTAGCTTGCTCCAAGTGTGCTGCAAAAGTTGACAGGTGTCCTGTCTGTCGTTCAGAATTCAATCAAGCCCAAAAACTGTACCTCCCGAGCGAGTTCAATCAACTATCCGTCTAATCGGAGTTGTTCGTTACCATATTGTGCAAATGTTGATTTTTTGCAAATGTATGTTGAAGAGATTCAAGACTAGTTGACGATACAATTTTCATAAAATTGTTTTTTAAATTCCGTTTTTGTTCGTTAAATTTGTGATGTAGTATGATGTGATTTTGTATGTTACTTCGTAATGATCGAAATCTCATATTGAGATCGGCTCAGTTAGGAATGAGGTACGGGAACTGCTTCCCGGACGCGGGTCTAATGCGAATTTTTTACGCACTTTGCGATACAATAATATTAACTCATTTTAGTCATTATCAATGCAAAATAAGGTAGGATCAGATGTTTAGTTATTTGTATATAGTATGAGGAAAGTATGTATACAAGTAAATTTAGTATTACTTAATGTTGTGATAAACTGAAATTTTATTTTGTGATAATTTTGTATTTATTATTTAGAATCTTAATTTGATTTTTTTCTCTTGGAGTAAGATCGCCGTTTTAAGAGCTTAGGTGATGTAATGGCTTCATTAAATGATACATTATTCTAGGTGTAGAACTTGAATGACAATAGATGTCTCTGTCTGAACGTTTTCGACTGATTTACCTTTCCGAGTTTTATTGGAAACTTACGAAATCGTTTTTCTGTAAATTACATACATTGACCCCACTTAAATAATGTACAATAACTACCAGTTATAATAAATATTTTCATTTATGAATATGACTTTCATTTTAAAAACCATTTTTAATCATGATCTTTTTCAGTCACACCCAACTGAAGATGTTGAAACTGTTGAGGTTCTGAATATGATAAAAAACATAATCTATACTAAAATTCCATAACAGTAGGCACTAAATTATCAGAGAAATTATTGCATTAAAACAAAAATATTGTTGTCGGGTTGTGATTTTATATATTTTGTCATCTGATAAAATATATAGAATCACAATCTGGCAACAATGTTTTTTTTTGTTTTATTGCAATATTTCTGAGAATTGAATGCCTACTATTATGGAATTTCAGTACATTGATATAGACGCATCTACACCTATCATTAAAAATGTCAAACACCTCATAGTTCAGCTTTTCACTTTTCTTGTGAAACAGTTACTGTATCAAGGCTATTTCCTGTGGCTTCTTAACAAGCCTTACTTATACCTGTTTATAAAATAGGTGTACAAAACTGAGGTTAGCGACTTCAGATTTCACTATTGTCCTCACTACCCAAATTATTTGACAAAGTTGTAATATAACAAACTATCATGAGGATAATAACTTGACGTATTAAAAAAAAAACACCTTAATTTTCACTTGAAAGCTTACAAAACCGCCATAAGTGGTTTGCTATAAAATAGCACAATCTGCATCGCGATGCCTGAAGATGCTATTGTATAGGGAAACGCGTGTCGCGGTTTTGTAAACTTTCAAGTGGAATACTAACATTAAAGGGGACGCCAAATTTATTGAAAAAAAAAAAGTTGGCGGCATGCCGAAAGGTCGCTATTGGTTATAATAATACAGTAGAATTAATATATAACGACTCCGCTTATAACGACTATCCTTTTACCGCGACTATAATGTTTACTCAAGTTTAGTTTCATATTTAGTTATTGGAAAATATACCGTTTAGTGCGACTCCGGTTTAAGCGACCAACCGCTTATAGCGACCGTTTTTCATGATAATACATGCGGTTAAAACGACGCGCAATGTTTTGTTTACACAATCTGCGCATCAATACCTCGGCGCACTCCCTCTTCTTAGATACCTCTATTGATAGGTACTACTAACAGATATTAATAAATTGATTTTACGCCAGAGGTTCCACAAAATGAATTCTGTGAAGCGAAAATGTTTTGCAATTGAAGAAAAAAGTGCAATATTACACCAATTAGAAGCCGGTGAATCAAATGCAGCCCTCGCAAAGGAGTTTGGCGTATCCCATTCTACAAAATCCACAATTTAAAAGAATAAAGATAAGATTGAGTCGCTGTTCAATGCCAATGTTTTGAAATGCAAATGTGTAAGGATTTCTACTCATGAGCAGTTGGATAAGGCATTGTTACAGTGGTTCAAGCTTCAGCGCGACCAGAAATGCCCCTTAATGGACCTCTGCTACAAGAGAAAGCAAACTTTTTGCTAGACGGTTAGACATTCAAAATTTCACGTGTTCCATGAGTTGGATAAACCGTTTTAAAGTGAGACACAACATTGTCTGTTGTGTTGCTGCCGAGTCTATGTCAGTAACACAGTTTTTTCATGCACTGCGTGTGTATTTTATCTCTTTGTATTACAGTACATAATGTAAGCACATTAGGATATTTAAGAACTATTAAAATAAAGCATATGTGATTCCTATAAAATGTTTTATTCACCGATCAGCAATCCGAACAGCTAAATGAAAGACTAATCAACTAATGTACACTACTACCACAAAATTAATCCGTTTTGTGCGTCGTCCCGTTAGTACGACATAGTATATCCGGTCCCTTGGAGGTCCTCATATCCGGATTCTACTGTATATTGAGATTAAAAAACGCCGTGAGACGTGTTTTTTTTGAATACGTTACAATGGACATTCATCAAGTATCAGCCAATTCAATCCTATTTCTTAGATGACAACTTGCTTTGTTAGGTAAGAAAGAATCTGTGTTGAGGTTCAATACCTAATAATAAGTTACTATCTCTAATATCAAACCTAATTAAATTATTGGAAAAATTGGTCAAAACAAGTTGAAATGCATTTTTTGTACTTCTAAAAATTATCTGCTTCTCAAATCATCTTCCATCACTGGAAATCTTTATTGACTTATCAAATGCATCTGTTACTATTAACCATCTCCCCTCAAAAACATCAGATTTAGAGGCAATGCACAGAAATTACTGAAATCTGATCTCACTAATAGAAAACCGATTGTAAGAATAAACGGTGCAAAAAGCTCAGAGAAAACAATCGAATATGAAGTACCTCGAGGGATGTTAATGGAATATTCTCCGATTGTGAAAACGAAAAATGTCAAAAGCTCAGAAAAACACCTGAATGTGGAGTTGGGTCTACTGGTCGAATAAGTTTCGCAAATTATAAATCCCGTTATTTTTTATTCTGATCAATCAAAATCCAAAGTCGATGAATTAGTAGAGAAGACTTTAGAATTGATTAGATACTGGTTTGATTACGAGTAACTTTTTTTGAAATTTAATAAAACTCAGTATTCACCAACTTGCAGCAATAAATAGACACTAGCAACTCAATTGAACGATGATACTAAATGCTTTTGAAAAGGAAAGTAGGTATTTGGGTGTTTAACTAGTTCAACATTTAAGATGGGACACCCATAAATACATTGTAAAAAAACTGTGATATACATAAATGCATAACATGAAAAATGGACTTGATATTGAGCAAAGAATTATTGAATATTACTAGAGTTTTTTCCCAACACCAAATCGTTATTTTTTCCAACACCTCGACACGTGTTTCGATCACCAAGTGATCATCTTCAAGAGGAAGGTGTTAACAAAATAAAAATTTGGTGTTGGGAAAAAACACCACTATTTCATACATTTTGTTCTTGGTATTTTTCGTAACCAAATATACACAGAAACAAATTTTACCATTTTTTTCATAATCACAAGTTTGTTATTTAGCGTATAATTCATTTTCTGATGATGCCAACTTGGTTGGTGAAACAAGTGCTGAAAAGAATTACAGTTCTGGAAATGATGATTTTTTTAGATTTCTGCTGTTCCTGAAAGCATCTTTTTGCAAACCATAGCCTTCATACCATATATTATATGGTTGCTACTATTGAATTTGGTTTATAATGGTCCATGGGAAAATTTGTAGGTGTTGCTACAAATTTTCCCAATTATTTTCATTAATTTTGCGATTTTTCTTATGCTATAATAATGTATTCAAAAAACATTTTATTGTGAGATTTTCACTAAACAGTTTTACAAAAATCCAACACGTGTTTTGCCACATAATGACTTCTTCGGGTGTGTCTACTAACTATATTCTACATATTCAATGTATATATACCTGATTTTACAATTTGAAGTACCTACATTTCAAGTTCCATAGTTTTACCTGAGTTTGTAATGAATTAAATTACCTGAGCTTATATCCCAGTTTCCACATTTGAAAAATTGTTTAGTGAGGGATAGTTATTCAATTTTAATTGATCATTAAATTACCCAAATTCTAGAATCTATTCTCATTCTAGAATATTAGAATTTCAAACTTTTCTCTTCTAAATGTAATATGTCGTATTCATGATGGAACTCAAATCCTTCTGCTAAAAGGTGGTTTGCAAATGTGGAATTGGTCTTTCTATTTACAAAACTCCTTATATGCTCTTTAATACTTTGGGAATAAGTTCTCCTTGTTTGGCCAATATACAGTTTTGGGCGAGAGCCACAAGTCAGCTCATATAGTCCTGATCTATCCGACATCGAAGTTTTGTCTTTATTGTTTTTAATAAATATACTTGAACTATTATTCGTTCTGTAAGCTATGTTTACACATTCTTTCTTCAAAAAAAGGGCAATGTCATTTGTTGGTTCACCCAAATATGACAATGTCTTATAACTGACGTTATCGCATCTTGAATTTGGATAGACCTGGCCCATGGCTAGCATTTGTAGTTTTTTGGAAAGAATGGAGTCTATAATATCTACCTTATAACCGTTGTTGACCGCGATTTGTATGATCAAACTCAGTTCTCTCTGAAAATTATTCTCAGACAATGGAATATTCAATAGTCTATGAAGCATACTATTGAATTCAGCAACTTTATGCTGGTAAGGGTGTGTGAAGAAATTATGTATAATAATGTCCGTGTAAGATGGTTTGTGGAAAATTACAAATTCATGTTTATTTTTATTGTTCGTAATGGTTAAGTCAAGGTAATTTACTGAATTATTTACCTCCTTTTCATTGGTGAATTTCATTGACGGGTGGATGGAATTGATATATTCAAAAAAATTGCCTACCTGTACCAGTAAAATAGACTAAGATATCATTTAAGTATCTATACCAGTACAAGAAACTGTTAGTTTTAATACTCTATGTTATCCATGAAAATTTCAGCCAGTAAAGAACTCAAAGGGTTCCCCATTATTAGTCCTTCACTGCATGAATGAAATTTTTCGTCAAACTGGAAATAATTTTGAGATAGACAAATAATAAGTAAATCTAAAATTTCCTGTTTATTAGTGGATTCACGTGATTTCTGTCTAAGCGACGCTCAACCAGTCCGATTGTTTCAATTGGCGGAATACTGGGAAATAAATTTTGGACATCAAACGATATTAATTTTGCGTTATTAGGAAGAATTGAGTTTTTAATATAACTCACTAATTGATAAGAATCATTTATACTAAATCTTGGATTGAATTATGCAATGATACTTATGGCACTCGATATACTAGTTTTGTTGACCTACAGATGAAATTGTTTGAACAGAATATCACTTGCTACACCTCTTATTACGGAAATATGTTTCTTGACATCAAGACGAAATTGGAGGAACGGAAGTGGAAATCGGTACTAAGCTAACTTTGATGTATCGGAACCTCTTTGGAATAAGGAATCTGAATATATCATTTTTTTCACTATATGATGATTTTTCTCCATACTGGAGTGCTTATTTCTGCATGAAACGTAAAAATATGCCGAAAGTTAAAAAACTAATCATAATTTTTTTTCCAACATTATTCAAAGTTGGCACTAACTAATTTGACAAGTGACATCTGTCTGTAACTTCAAATATGCTTCTGAGATATGTTTCAAAATTCTCTGTCCCGCGCCATGATACAATCTCAATATATTATACCAATAGCGGCATTTTGGCATTCTTCCAACTCAAGTTTTTTCTTTCTCATTAAATTTGACGTCCTCACAGCGATCCGACTATTATTAACGAAGATGTGACTTAGGACCCTTTGGCATACATACCATCTTTGTCAATGAAGTCAACATTCCTGTCCCCCCCTTTTTTTTTGATGTGCCACACTTCAAGATCTACTTATTAATACCAAATATGTGACTTAGTGCCTTTTTGGTATGCCGCCACGTTTGTTCTTTCTCTATGTGACGTCATTACCTCTCATTTCATGTGCTGCATGTCACGATCCGTCTATTATTAACAAAGATATGAGTTGGTGCCACAACCTTTTGCATAAAGAAGTGTACTTTTTGACAGAATGAAAGACTTCATACTTATGAGGCATTATTTATTTGAACAATGAGGTTTCATGAGGTGTCAAGCAGATTGAAGCAGAAGAATAAATTATTAAATAACATCTACCCACGAGCTTTTCAGAGTAAAATAATACAACAAATGTTAATGAGATCTATCATCACTGACGAACAACAATTTTTTCACTGATCTCATCATTAGGTTTTTATTGAAAAGAAAAGGTAATTTAATTTGTCCATATATGTAAAAATACTGAAATTTTAAAATAAGTGCTCATTTTATTCAAGTCACTGTACCCTTATGCAAAATGATAAAAAATAATAAATAAAGAAGATCTATTCTTAAGTATTATCGTCAATACTTATCCACAGCAATGGTATTATCTAAAATTCGTTTTCAGTTTTTGTGTAGTTATCCCTGAAACCATTGAATTTCTGTATTAAATCATCTACAGAACATTCCCCGTGGATCACGTTATCCCTAGTGCGAATGTTGACTGTATTGCTGGAACGTTCCTTTTCACCAACAACTGGAAAAATAATGAATTGTTAACAGAAATAAAATTAAAATGAGTGATTTAATATAAGGCGATAACATAACTGATTGATTACATTTACGTCACAGAGAGCGAGAGCAATAGCAATAACATGTCTTGATAATGCTATCTGAGATGATGGCAAAACATTGACCTTCAAACCTCTATCATCTCCCCGTTCATTATGAAATTATGTATCGGTGCCATCATTTTATATATTATTCCTTACAGTTATTGGATTACTTGCACTTTTAAAATTACTTTTCAAAATTAAAGAAACTCATATTAGATATTTTATAATAAAACCAACAACAAATACATCAATTAAAAAAAATACATTGTCTGATCATTTTGTTAAATACTGCCAAAAGCAAAATAAAATAACGATTGGACCTCTACCGACATAGTGATATAAGAATCATCATTCAAGTTTTTACTGTTTCTGTTATATACTGGGTATGCCAACAGTGCTTAGGTACCTACTTGATATAAAGGTAGAGTTAATGGCGGAGGAAGTCCTAAAATTTGTTTTTGGTAGGGTACCTCAAGGCCATAATCACCGCCATGTATGATTTCCGACTTTTTGTAGTTTTCCTAGTTTTCAACATTTCTATGAGAATTTTCAACTAGTCGCCTTGAATATTTTTCCTTTTTTTGAAAGGTATTTTTCTCAGTTTTTTTAATTGCATGATCCTTATAGTTTTTTTCGTGCAAACACAAATTATCTCTATAGAATTTTAGTACAAGAAGGCAAAGTTGCAAGCAATGCAATAAAGTGAGAAGACAGCTAGCTAATCAGGTTTCCTGAAATGTGAGGCAATAGGACATAGGAGCTAATCAATTATGAAAAAAAACCTACATCCGGCAAGTACAGATGACAAAACTGTTGGAATGGGATTCGTCAGAAAGATAGGGAAAAACGCACAATCCCATGAGGTTGCAGTATTTTCCAGCGCCTCGGAAGAAATGGGCGAGTCAGACAGCCCCCAAGTAATAGAAAAACATGTTATATATCAAACTATCTAATCTTTACTCGCCTAAAATGAAATTAAACTGAGCCAGTTGGGCATTCCTTATCTTCTTGTTCATGGTATCTCCTGGATCGGTGTCGACTTCCACCATGAATCCTGCATCAAACAGTTTCTGCTTCACTTGCTCTGCATACTCATCGTATGTCGGTCCAACTGGAATGATCATTACTTGCCTGGGAGACAGCCAAAAAGGCCATTTCCCTGCATACGATTCTGTAAGGATGGCTATGCTTCTTTCAAGCGAGCCGAGAATCGCTCTGTGAATAATGACGGGTCGTTTTTTCTCTCCAGATTCACTGAAATTACAATTCTTCATTCCCAGTACTGTCTATCCAAGATAATTCAACTCACCTCACATAAGACAGGTTGAACCTGATGGGTAACTGGAAATCTAGCTGGATAGTAGCACACTGATGAGACCGCCTCAAGGCATCTTGGATGGTAATGTCAATTTTTGGACCGTAAAAAGCTCCATCTCCTGGATTAATTTTCCAAGGCTGACCAAAATTGTCTAAACTTTCGCCCAAGGCCTAAAATTAATGTATGACATTATGGTCCAGTCTGTACTATAATAAATGTGCATCGAAATATTAATGGATATTTTATTTTATTATATTTTCAATCATACTTTTCAAATCATATATTTGGTATTTCTACAACAGACAGAATATTTTAATCTGAATAGTACGTATGACTATAGATATCCTACTGACTGCGCCAAATTCATTAAATTTCCAATATCATTAATTACACTGCCTGTTGCATCTCACCTTTTCAGCAGTGTTCCACAATTCAATATCTCCAAGATATTTTTCAGGTCTAGTAGATAAACAAACGTCCATCGTGAATCCAAAAGTAGTATACACAGTGTTGACGAAATCTAGACAGCTGCTGATTTCTTCCCTGATCTGTTCTGGCGTGCAGAATATGTGGGCGTCATCTTGCTGAAACCTCCTTACTCTAGTCAGACCTGTGAGTGCCCCAGAGAGTTCGTTTCGGTGTAGTACTCCAAAATCGGCGAGACGCAAAGGTAGTTCTCTCCATGATCTGATGCGATTATCAAATAGTAGGCTGAAAACATTATTTATATTTGAAATGAAAATTTTTTCAATCAAAAATAGGAATGGAAGTATTTAAATCAAAAATTTTTAAATGCGATTCAAATTCAAGATTTGAAAGATTTTCAATTCAAACATCGATTGAAATCAGAATATTAAAACCCAATGATTATCAAAGATGAACATAAATCATTTATGAATGATTATTTATTTTCAAACTCAAGTTGTATCTCTGTAGTTGTTCGTAAAATAATTTTTTGCTGCGAACTGGTTTATTTTGGGCAAAAAACCCAAGAGACATTTTCTGTTTAGAATGAAACAGGCTATCGGAAATAAATTTTTAAATGGTAAACAAATAATAAGACAAAAAGTTACATTGGAAATAATTTTAGGGGTTGCGTTTTCCACCCCTCACAACCATGGGGTAAACCAAATAAATTTCTGACTAAGTGTCTTTTTGGTAGTACAAAACGTCAGGTTAATTTCAATATTGTAACTTTTTTAGTGCTTGTGAAAAAAATTGTTATACAAATTTTATGTTTCCCCTTTAAGGGGCTGTATCTTAACAAGGGATGCTCCAATGAAATTTCTTTATATGAAAGATCCTTTCCTTTTTTCGATGAGGAATCACCTCCTTAAATGTTTTACACTTATTTAGTTACACCCTGTATATGATTGGCGCTTGAATGTTGCTTTAGATAATTAAATGATTGAGAAAAAGTATTAGTAACTGAATTTTATAAAAATATCCACTCTAAAAAGAAATTGAACTCACCAATGTCCAGGGCAATTCATTGGCTTCAGAGCGAACTTATCTTTCTCAACATCGAATGAAAACATATTATCCTGAAAACAAAATAGTTCACTAACAATGTTCAGCATCGTTTAGTTTGCCACTTACTGCATAATGTAACCAGTGCCCCGAGGTTTGCCACAGTTTTACATTGTACATGTTAGGGGTGATGACCTCTTGGAACCCTCGTTTTCTATACTGCTTCCTAATGAACTCTGTCAAAGTATTATAAATATGCGCACCACGAGGTTGGAAAAAGCACGATCCTGGAGACAATTCATGGAAGAAGAACAACTCTTGCTCCTGAAAAATCCATTGTAAATCAGTAAGAGAAAAAGTATGACTTCTTCGAATCATGTAAAGAATTCAGAAATATTTTTATTACAAATTGTGAGACTCAAATCTTCGTTACCTTCCCAATTTTTCTATGATCTCGTTTAGCAGCCTCCTCTTGAAAATGCTGCCATTCCTTCATCAGTTTAGTGTCTGGAAAACTGACTCCATACACTCTTTGGAGAGTTTCTGCATCTGCTTTGCCTTCCCAGTAGGTGGATGAGTTCTATATTTGCATAAAATATAATAATTTAGAAGAGCCAACCTCACAACTGGATGTTAGTGTTAACAAAGCTATTTTCAAAGTTTGTTTTCAGTGGCCTGTAGGTTATTATGCCTGATGTCTCGTCTACTACTGTGGTAGATATTATCAGAAGAGATGTGGCAACAGACGAAATGCTCTAGTTGTCCTTAAAACGGATACTACATTGAATGGTTTGTTTCTATTGGTAGAATTGAACGACCTCATTATATGAATGTAGATTCAATAACAAAGAAGGGTGAATCAACATCAATAGGGTCTAGCTACCTGCACTGAATTATACTCGTGAAATGGGGTCATTTAGTTCGTCCAATAGAAACAAAGTCAAGCTCACACCAACAGAACAAAACCACAGACTCAAACCTGCAATATAGTATCTGCTGTGAGCACTTGCCTTATTGTGTTGATAATGACTATCGAAACATAAGGCATAAAAACTTTTGACCCCATTTAGAAAAGGATAGCTCTCGTTATAACTCTTTACCTTGGTAACTTTCAGGGCTTTGATTTTTCCAGTATGTCTGATATGGGGCCCCCTGCAGAGGTCTATAAGAGGTCCACATCTATAGACAGTTGTGGTAGGAGTGTTAACTTTTTCATTCAAAATGCGAACTTTGAATTGGTTATACTTGAACATCTCCAGCAGATCTTCTTTCTTCATTTCCAGTCTTTCGAAAGATTGCTTTTCTTTGACAATAGTCTTCATCAAGTTTTCCAGGACAGGAAAGTCAGTTTGGGAAATCTACATATGAATGTTAATGAGTCTACTTACAATCTCAATGAGGGTACTGTACATAACATGAACATTTACATAATATTTTTAATAATCGCCAAATGGTATTATTGATAGTATATCAAATATGTTGTTGAAAAATCCAAATATTCCGTTTTGAAACTAACTCTAACTACAACATTTAATCTGATGGTTCAACAAATAATATTTTCAGGTAAATCTAAATTGGCTACAATTATTTCCATTTTCAAAAAATTAGACTCTCCTCAACAAAATTTAACATTGTTTCTCCGCATCAGCATAAATATTTAGAGAATAAAAACTATGATAAGGCTATAACAAATCTAATGCTTGAGGAATATGAAACAGTTGCTAAGAAATAATAATATTAGGAATATTCAAGGAAACTATATTTGCTACTCTTGAATTTATCTACTCTGACGCACCACCAAGCTGAAATTGATTCAAGATTTCTTCATAAAGTTATAAATGATGATATAACCTGTCCATATTTAACACAACTGATTGACTTCAATGTAAATGCAAGCAGAACCAGAGTGTTGGAGTTGTTTAAGTTCCTTACCATTCTACTAGCTATGGCTTAGATGAATCCATTACCAGAATTCTTAGACTAGCAAATAAGAATAGCATCTACATTGATTTATTTGATTCATCCTTATATTTTTTCAAAAAGCAGGGTAAACGTTATGACCTACTATGAAGAAACTGCTGATTATTATTATTAATAATTAATTGATATTTTATATTCCTGGTATTTTATATTCTCTCACACTATTTCTATGTTTATTGTAAAATAGCAAGTCTGTAAATAAATAAATACATGTTAAATGTTTCAAAATTTTCTAGTATCACGTAATCAGAACTATTTTCATAAATTTTCTTGAAAAATTAAAGAAAGGCTCCATTTTATAGGTATGTATAATTTGTTTGTTAGTTCTGGGTATTACCAATTCTTCTCCATCAACTTCAATCTGTCATATTTAGCAATAGTTATAACGTTTAGCAATTGAAAAATATAATGAAAACTTATGATTTAATTGTGGCAAAGTTGCGTATTTTAGAGACCTATTCAATGATGTAAAGAAATCGAATATAGCTTTGGTTCTGGAGATATACAGGAAAAACAAAAAAATCCCAAATTATTTTTTTGCCTGTATCTTCTTTATTCGCAGACATATTGAAAATCTGTCCACATTTTGCTATTGGCACTTAATGTGGGCTCTCAGAATATATCAATAAATATTTTATACAGGGTGTCATCTGACTTGGGCCACCCCCATCTTTGAATTTTTAAATACGGACCTGTATTAGTCGAATAAGCTCTGGAAAGATGAAATTTCTGATGTGCTGCCTAATGATATTCATACATTTATCTGAAATGTATCTTTACAAAATTCATTGACGTAGCAAGCAAATTGTGTAATAAAGTGTGGTAGATTAATTGATAAACGAGTTACACAGAAAATTGCAAAATCTTGATAAAACTTATGATAAAATGATTAAAAGGATCAATATAAATTCTGTAGGAATGGAGTTCATCTTTTGAAAGTAAAAAAAAAAAAATATTATTTTGAAAAATTTTATAAATTCAAAAACAATTGGAAAACTTTCAAAAGTAAAAGTTATATATTCCAAAGAGTATTAATTTGATATAATTGTAAACCTGATAACATAATAAGAGATTTTTCATTCACTCTGAGATTTTTAATAACTAATACACAATATCATGCTGTTTATATTGTTCTATTTAAGATTTCAATTTTTTTTTTGTTATTTACTATTGTATTCGTATTATTTTTATAAGAACAAATTAATTTTCCCATTCTGTAATCGGTTTTGGCTATATGAAATATAACAGAAATAAATAAAAGTAAGTAATGTATCAACAAAGTAGTGAGTACGTCAATAATTTGTAGACTATTATAAAATTTCATTGATAAGTATCTCAAAATTATTTTACTAATAGAAAAATTTCAAGAATTTTGAATAGGTTTCCAACTGGAAAGATTTGCACTTTGTGACAGGATTTTTTTATCAATACTGGTATAACCCAAAAGGTTTTTATATACAGCTTGTCAAATCTAGAAAGTGACTTCAATGTCTCGGCTTAGGAACACTCCTCTAAGATGGGCATTCGTGAGGATACTGTGTGAGAAAGAGAGACATAGAATTCTCAAGTCTCATCCTAGTTTTGATAAGCTGAATTCATTGTTACAATTAATGAAAATTAGCGCAACAATTGTAACTAGGGTCTTCTTGAAATTAACATAATATGACCGTAAGTTTCTACTCAACATATAAACATTTAGCCAAATTAATTTTCATTTCATATCAAGTCTCACCCCTTTCTCTCCAACGAATATATCGTAATAAAATCCAGAATCAATGGGAGGTCCATAACAAAGACAACCCCCGTATACCCTCTCTAAAGCCTCGCCAAGAACATGAGCTGTGGAGTGCCAAAACACAGCCTGTGCTTCGGGGTCATCAAATTTGAGAAGGTGAAGTTCACAATCATCTTCCAGCGGTCTGTCAAGGTCCCATAAGACACCAAAACCACAGACTCAAACCTGCAATATAGTATCTGCTGTGAGCACTTGCCTTATTGTGTTGATAATGACTATTGAAACATAAGGCATGAAAACTTTTGACCCCATTTAGAAAAGGATAGCTCTCATTATAACTCTTTACCTTGGTAACTTTCAGGGCTTTGATTTTTCCAGTATGTCTGATATTTGTGCTTCGGGGTCATCAAATTTGAGAAGGTGAAGTTCACAATCATCTTCCAGCGGTCTGTCAAGGTCCCATAAGACACCATTTACCTTGGAAATGACTGTGTTGTCCGCTAAACCTTGACTGAAAGATAAAATATCAATAGGTAAATTACCTTAATGCATAGTATCAGACCTGGGTTCAAGTTTCATATTTTTGGTAAGGCTGAATGAAATTCAAAAGATTTCATACTTGGAATTCATGAAAAACTGACTTTCAAACAAACTGTTTTTGATGGATGATGTAGGCCGTTACATGGTAAGAGATCATCATGAAAAACGAGAAATGAAAATTTATATGTTTTTTACCACCTTTATTTGTAAATAAAGTTACTGCAGTTTCATCCTATAAGGACATTATCAAACTAGTTTAATGTGTTAGTTTGAAAATGCCCTTATAGGACGAAACTGCAGTAACTTTAGTTACAAATAAAATTGGTAAAAAAAAACAGAAATTTTCATTTCTCATACTTCATGAAAAACTATTTTTCAATTTCAAAGTAATATTTAAAAAAAATTCTCGATGGGAAATTGTTAATTCCTTGAGACAATAAGTTTTATGCAAAGAAAAACAGTAAAACGTTAAATCCTCTTTTGGTATAAATAAATAGGTTCCTGCTTGGTACTTTTAGAATTTTTGTCTTGAAACTCAAAATCTGGAAAGGTATGCTTAGAGCAAGTACATTCTTTATCGATATTGAAGATTTATGAAGTGATAATCAAAAATAGATTGGCACAATTCCTTGATAAACCAATAATTTTCAACAGCTCTTAGCGTGGATATCAGAATAAAGAAAATTTCTAATAAGTTCAATGATAGATGTCAAAAAAATTAGAATTGCTTTTCATTCTGGCATATGATTTTTATCAATTTGTAGTAATGGAGCAACCAAACAAATCAGTTGAAGAAAGTATTCAGATCCTCCAAAGCAGTAGAATAAATAAGGGTGATCCTCCTCCAAGATATTCAGGCTTGGATAGCATCCGCCTCGAGTTGAATGTGTTTTCAGATAAAATATAGGATAAAGAAATGCACTTTTGTCTAATTTCCACTAAATTAATTTTTTGTTATGATCCGTTTTAGTTTTTAAGCCATTCTCAAGTAACTGATACATTGTGTCAAAACATACCCTTAAATATACAACGATACAGTCAGGTACCTGTAATAGGTACTTGAAAAAACCAATACTACAACAATACCAATTATCTTCTAGAATATATCACAACTGAAACCGGTCATAACAAATATAAACTTGGTAGAAATTAAACAAGTTATTTTCTTTATCCTATATTTAATATGAATTTCTACGAAATGAATAGGTAATCAGTTGAATAAGTTTTCAAATGTTCTCTAACTACAAGAGCGATGTTGAAAAAGTTGAAATCAAAATCAAATCAAAATATGCTTTATTACCCAAAATCTGAACATCTTATTGGCAAAGTCTAGTACATTGAAACGTGTATATGGGACATTAAATTAACAAATATAAGCTATAAAATAATGCTTATGAGACAAGAGCAAAGTATATGGACAGAACAATATCAAGCCCAGCTGAACAGATACAAATATAAGTACATGAATATTCAGTAAATGTAAATATATAATGCTACGTAATGAACATTGATAGCCATTTCGTGTAGATTTCAATAACTTGTTTACACAAAGCTACATGCCAATTACTCGATAGAGCCTTGGTAGCATTCATCCACACTATGATAGGGCCTTCCAACAAGGAATTTTTTTATTTTCTTTCTGAATTTTTCTTCATTATATATTCACCTTAAATTATTGAGAAGGTGATTAAATAACTTCTTGCTATTGAAAATAATAGAATTTTGTGTAAGGGCTAGAGTAGGTGTTGGAAGGGAAATGAAGTAATACTGACAGGTATTATAAGTTGAGGTGGTATTAAATTGATTTTTATAGTTTTAGTGGATGACACACTGTTTCCAAAATAAAAAGACATACTAAGGTCAGAATTTTTTGCTTCAAAAATAATGGTCAGCATGAATCCCTGTAGTTCTGATGGATCTTTTTTGTAGAGAGAATACCATATTGAAACGTTCGTTTTCTAATAACGTGACGTAAAACAAGGAGTGCCTCAAGGTTCTTCATAAAAAATATCAGGAAAAGTGCATATGCAGGTGACACAACTTTTTTAGTAAAAAGTAAAATTGAAAGTGACTTTAGATATTTGACGCTGATATTTGGTTTACAGTAAATTTTTTTTCCTCAATAAAGAAAAACACAAAGAATAATTTCCTGTCAAACAAGAATAATACTTATAATAATATGCATAACTAAATTGGAAGGCACTGTTTGAGTGGAAAACTTGATTCGGTCATATATTGAAAAGAAATAAAACAATTTTGCTACACCAATAAAGTAAAATTTGCCTATTATGTAAATTTTCATAATGCAGAACAATGAGAAACCCTCCTGTAGCAAAGTATTCATCCAAAAAAAACAAACCAGAACTCAATGTGGACTGGAATACAGATATAGTTGCAAAGATTATTTTTGCCATAAACGAATTCTTATCTTTATCCTTTTGTGTTTATATACAGAATACTTTAGAATATAAACTCACCTAATTGTTTTAGCAATATCATAGGCAGTACTCTTCCATGCAGTACCTTCGATAATTTTACCATCAGGTAAGGTTACTTTGATTAATTTTTGGGGTTTGCCAGCAATTTCTGCATCATACTCTAACTTCAGTTTGTTCCATAAGGTGAGTCTTTCTTCGATGAATGCTGGCCAAGGTTTCAGTTCTTTTGCAACTGAATTTTCTCCCCCACCCTGGGCTGCTAGTTTGTTTTTCTTCAATTTAGCCTAATGAAAAAAATATCCCAACATTTCTTTCAAATAACTTTCCAACCAAAAGAAAAATTAAAAATATAAAACTCTACTTTCTATCCATTCTAGGATTTTCTATGTAAAATTTGATGACATTGCATCATATCTTATTCCAGGTAATAATTAACACAGGTAATATGTTCAAATTACAAACCAAGGAAGGATAAGAACGGTGAAATGCCGGAGCAACAATTCTCAAAGAACTCAAAGTTTTCAACATATTGAAAAAAGAAATATTTAATTTTCATGCCTTTTCCTCACTGTTCACTTTTATATTCTCGACGCCTTTTTCCAAATTTTCACTCATTGTGGTATAAAATAACACACACGTTGACCAAACTTCAATATGGTAGTTGACAAGTTGACATTTGAATTAGAAAGAAATATGAAAGGAGAAAGGAATGTATTCTCTGCCTCCGAATAATTTGAAGTTAGACGGCATAGGCGAGTTCCTGAAATCAACAGAAACATGGATCAATTGGTGGAGTCATAGTGAATTTAAGAACTCGTTTCATGTTGCATGTAGCATATTTGGAGATGACTTGTTAGTTCTCTAAAATTTCAAAAATATTTTGCAATCAAATTTGATGTCATCATAATAGGCCTTTTCATCTTATTTTTTGAGCAAATTATTCGACATCAGTCATGTTTTTTGCGCTGTTCTTTAATAACAAACGTGTTGAATAAATATCGGAGTAGGGTAATGATTATTAATAAAAAATCTTCAGATTTCGTAATATTCGAGGTGAGACCGTTGTTAGTGAGCCACTGCTTTGATGATACATTTTGTTTGTCTTTCGAACGAAGTACCTGATCAATGTTTACATTAGTTTGAAAAATACATTTAATTTTGTGAAGTTTTGTTGTGATACTTTACAAGTCAGTTACTTTTATATATCTTTACATTTCATATAGAGTATATTTATATTTTTTCTCAATATGATGTTTTTACAAGAGTTCCGACTCTGATTTTTTTTAATTTACTCTAAATATGTTCAGAGTGTGATAGGCATAAATTTTTATTAGTTATTTTATGTTACTGTTATTTGATAAAATATAAAAGGTCTGTTCTGGTTTCAGTTAGTACTGTTTTGAATCATCAGTGGTGCACTAAAAAGGTTAACGCGACAAAATATTCAGTACTCAGTTGTGTGAATGTTTTCGAACTGTTAGGGCAGAGAACCAGAACAAACCTAAAGTATACATTTATCACCATTATTGCACTCATTGCAGTTTTCTAAGGTCACTGGATCCTGGATCAGAGTAAGCACGAATTTTGTTATTAGTTAGCAAGTATTTTGTTATTAGTTAGCAAGTATTTTGTTATTCCCCAGTTACTAACTCTGGTTGTCCCAAGTTTTCCAGTAATTTGTGCAATTTCTATTGGCAACAGTGTGAATTTGACATTATATCTCTGTCAGATGTGGACCTAAATAATTTATAATCAAAATTACAAAAAATGCCATGAACCAACTAAACAAATGTTGATATTAATCTGGTGATTTCGGATAGAGAATCCTTATCCGGTGATACGTGAATTCATAATTTTCTGATGGCTTCCTTTGAAAATTTAGAAATCCAGAAGTCCTTCAAATACCTTAGAGAAGTCGAACTTGTAGCACAAGATATTCTTACATTGAAAGAGGAGAAGTTACAACTAGCTCATGCTCAGAACAAATTCAGAGAAGCGTTAAATGGACTTAAAAATACTGAAGATAGAAAAACATGGATTCAAGTCGGATCTGTATATATCGAGAGACCTGTAGATGAATGTAAAATTATATTACAGGATGGTGAGTACAGAATTGAACATTACATGCTCCCAGCCTAGATACATGTACCCATCAACTTTTTGTCTGTGTATAATAGCAAATCGCCAGCAGGAGCATTAATTTATTTGAATTTTTTTAAGAAATCAGTAAGGCTGAAGATGACTTGAAGAAACTGCAGGACGAAATAAAGGAGAAAGTTTATAAGCTTAGAGATTTAGAACATGAACCAAGATTGGAAGGATTTACACTAAAACCTATATCTGCATCTGAAGCGAAAGCCCTCCATAAAGGATTTGGACTCATTTAATTATATTGAGAATAACTTAATAGGGCATCAGGTGGAACCACTAAAACTGATGAATAGAGTTGAGCAAGGAGTTTGGAAAATTTAATATTTTTAAATTTGTTAAGTTTTTAAGAAAACAAAAATCCCACTAAGAGCCCTTTCAAGCAAGGATACTTATGTGAAATATCATATATGGGATAACATTTTTCAATCAAATACTTTTTACTTCCACAGCCCTCATCATTATGAAAACGTACCCTGTGTGTTACAGCATTTCTGTTTTTTATTCCTATTGTTGGAATTTAGGTGTGCTATATCCCTCTAACAAGGATTGGCTCTACCATGAATTAATTTTTTCATCAAATTCTGCATGTTTCATTTCCATGTACAAATATTACATTTGCCCTTTTCTGAACTCATTCACTACTTGAATCATACTCCTATGTTGAACCATATTTAATTTGATATCCAGCATATGCATTCTGTTGCTGGCGGTCCAACTGTAAGAGATACCAAAATTTGCTTTCCGGGTACCAAATATGTTATGAGTGCTGTGTTGAAAATTTCACTTGTGTGTATGCAATATCTATATCTTCGATATGTGTCTCTTACATACAGTATCCTTGTTTGAAGGTGATTGACAATGTTTCGTGATGAATTTCACTACTTCGGACTTCCATTGTCTACTATATAAAATGATTTGAAATCCCTGAAACAAGTAAAAAAGAATAATTAAAAAAGGATAGCTGAAAATAACAATTATATTAAGCAACAATAAACCTGAAATGAAATGATAGTGAAGTAACCTACAAGTAAAAGTATAATAATTGAATAAATAAAAATTAAAGGAATGAAAAAAGAAAATAATAAAAAAGTGTAGAGATTCCAAGTCACGTTAGTTCACGACGTTTCGATTGTTGGTATCTACAATCGTCTTCGGGTGATGAATACATACAGTATCCTTGTTTGAAAGAGCTCTAAAGTACATCTTTGTTGTCATTGAAATAGGTTCACATTTCAGTGTTTCTTTAAATAAAAAAATGCTGACAATTTCATCAAAATATTTTTTCCCTTTTGAATCCTCAACTTGGTATGTTTGCATTTATTGGACATATTTGTGGAAATGTGACAAAGCCTGTAGGATAAATTTGATGGATGGTTGCGATAATGATGATGTTTATGACACTGAAGCAGTGTTATTGAGAACAATGTTTCAGTGACAAAGTCAGTACATAACATGTGGACATTAATACCGAAAATAATGATTTGAATCTGAAAAAAACCATCAAAAGTTCATTTATGCAATTGAATATTTTTTTAATTCACAGACCATTGTAAAATAGGAAGTATTCTATAGGGGGTGTGTTTAGTATTGGAAATTCATACTGGCATGAAAGGTGCTACAGTAATTTAAGAATTATTTCAAAATTGATAATGATAAATATTATGTAGCCAACTATTGTTTACATAATCCTAAGAAACTCATCTTCAAACAGGAAATGATGAAAAATAATTAGAATATAGTAGAATAAAAATTGGTTACATTATTGGACTAAAAATAAAAAAATGTTGTTTTCATTACCTCACATTAAATTCCATCAGATTTTCTTTGTTTGTTTCAGTCGGAAATTATGATGTGGATAATTGAATAGAACTGGCCAATATATGATGAAAATCCTTTTAAAAAATAACTAATTGGACTCATTTTGATTTTCGCTTCATTAGTAAATTACAAACTGAAATTTATGAGAGAAGAGTAATGCTGAATTGACAATGACTTGATAAACATAGCTTAACGTTCCCCATCCATTTATTTTCATCGTCTCTATAGATAACTCAATTTATGAATTTTATTCCTATATTGACTGTAATAGTGAAGTGTTATCATTAAAATTTTTAAATATTTATTTTAAATGAAGTTACTCATTGTACATTTACTTTACAATACTTTAAAACCTGAAAATGGCAAAAATATCAAAACGTCTGTCATTATTGTACCATTAAAAATGAATATATAGTATTTCTAATTTTATTTCCATATTGACCGAATATGTCGAACAAATCTACTGAATAAAGGGAAACGATCAGGATAACTTAGTATATGAATTAATGAAATGGTTTTTTTTAGTTCTCTATTTATGTATTAATAGAGAAATAGAAACGAAACTGAATTAAAGAAAGTTTTTCAAGTATTTATTTTATTCATTTCAAAGACTTCACATACTTTTCAAAATCTAACAATAATTCTCTCATATCTTTGTAATCAGCATATTTCATAGCTTCCTCAATCTCTAACCATTTAAAATCCTGATGTTCATCTGAAAGTTTAACTTCAGCTCTTGGATTAATCAATTCAGCTAACCAATAATATACGGTTTTAGGTTTTCCTTTAACCTCATAGTTCAACACTTTTTTACAGTCTTCATAGACTTTGAGGTCTTCTTTGAGAAGACCTGATTCTTCCATTGTTTCTCGGAATGCTGCTTTCAATTCTGATTCACCTGGATCTAGATGACCTAGAACAATAATGACACGTTTTCTTTTCGTAAAATGATTGCACAAATGTACCTTTAGGTGGAGTCCAGTGATGTATACCATAAGAAGTTTGTAGTAAGAGATACTCAATTTTTTCACTGTGTTTTCTGAATATCACGAATCCAGAGGCAATTTTTCCAGCCATTATTTATTATTTTGGAATAAATTTGTTGCACATTACTTTTTTATGATAACATACACAATTAAAATAAAATCAAAAGCGAATATTATCGGCACAGATTAAATTAATCTGTGTTATCGGTAAATCGCTAATGAAAATACGATTAAAAATGAATTTCTTCTTATTAATTTATTTATTAGCATCAGCAACTAAGGTTATCCGGCCAGTTGGTAATGAAATTCTTAATAAAAACCAAGCTAGTATGGTTGAATAAAAATTAGTATTTTCATTTAAAAAAAACAGCACTTCGGGAGGCCTCCGGAGAAAAACATCTACTACTGCACTGACGAATTCGTCTACATCCGGCCTGGTTGCTGCCGTAGGCGTAGTTATTCAATATTCAAACCTAACTTCATTTTTGTACTTCACTTCGACCATGATATCTACGTGCTATCTTTGAGCGCGGCCGTTGTCAGCACAACCACCGTATAGAACTGTTTACTTATCTTATACGGTGACCGTATGAACGAATTGCTCCCTCCCCTTTTATTTGTCACCCGGAGACGCGTCCGATGGCGTATAACACTCTGTGCAGAAGGTAATTTAAGTGTTGGAAATGTCAATAAGCTCGCCTGCTTTTGGATAATAGCGGTCTGTATAGGCGATAGCGTTTAGAATTGTTTTTTTACAGAATGGTGACAGCGGAGTTGAGGACTGTTGGTAAAACTTGAAAAAAAAACTTAAATATTGTCATTCTGTGATGTTTGAAGGTTAGCTAATTTAACATTAGTATTTTCACAAATATCAGTATTAAATTATGTTTTTATCTTTGTTTCGGAAAAAATCATCAGACAAGGGCAGTCCAGAAAAAACCAAAGCTAAGATTGTATCAAATGGTGTGAGAGATCGTGCGGAATTAAAAGATACAATCTATGGTGAGTGATAAGTTTTTTATAAAAAAAATGCACACCACTTGACAATTTTAGATTTGATACGAACGATAAAAGATCCTGAAAAACCCAATACATTGGAAGAACTGGAAGTAGTTTATGAGGATGGTATTACAGTGAGTAGAGTGGTTACCCTGTGTAAGATTCAAGGGGAATAAATTGGATAATTGGCCTTTTTAGTTGCGCATATTTTCAATTAAAGCTTTTCATACAGGGTCTGTCATGTAATAGTTGCCAATTCTAATTTTCTCATTCTAATTTCAACACCCACAATTAAATTTTTGAATTAATTATTTGATCACAAAAATTCACTGTAAAACACACTTGTCTCCTATTTAGAACTTGAGACTGGGAAAGTAAGCAAAATTATTTCAGCAAGCTGTGTATTTTTACTGCAATTCTTATAATTTTTATGCTTCTTGATTATCTATTTGGTACTTACCATTCCATTTCAATCACTGAGTGGAGTAGTGGGGAATGCTGTTAAAATATTATTTGTGGAATTGATTATCAAAATTCTTAATACTGTCAATGTTTTTCTTTTCTTTGGAATAAAGAACTGCATCTGAAACTATAGTTGGGCACCAAAAAAAACGCTAGAGATATGTACTCTATCTCTCATTCATAATGTAAGTAGTTATGCTGATGCGTCCAGCCTTTTTCTGTAATTTTTTTAAAACTTTCAAAACAAGACTAAGTCACTTCAAAACCAGTCACAGTAAAACCTCAAAAAAGTAAAAAACTGAAATGTATTGAATTAATCAAAAATTAATATCCCAAGAATATAAAACTATTATTTTTTAATGATTCGTGCAAGGCTAATTTTTCAAGTAACTTCTAGGTCCAGGATGGATAACTGTTGAGATCTGTTATCCACAATTCTATTCAATCTGGCATTGAAGCAAGATATAAATGGAGCAAAAAAATGGTCATGAAAACAACCAAATTTACCTTTATGCAGATGATATTGCCATTACTTATATCTAGAACAAGAAGATAATTGGGAAAGTAGTGAACATATTGGAAAAATGGCACAGAACTTTGGCTTGCAAATCAATGAATAAAAAATAAAATATATTCACTGGATAGACAGACAATTTCAGAAAGGAAGGAGGGGATACAAGAAGATGAAGACCGAGGAACAGATGGAAGGAGGAAGTTGAAGAAAATATCAGGAAACTGGAAATAAAGGGAAAAACACAAGAAAGGGTAAAAAACAAGAAAGGATGGAAAGAAACTGTAGCCAAGAACTTAGTTACCATATATTTTTAAATCGGTTGATAATGAGATGAGGATGATGAGATGAGGAAAATTATAGAACATTGTACATGAAATGTCATGAAAGTTCTAAAGATTACAAAAATTGACAAAAATACAGGGTGCTTGCACTTGAAATAATAAAAAAAATGGTATTGGCTATTGTTACACGACACAGCCTCCACTCTATACCTTATTAGAATCCTTTATTGAAACTTCAAATCAGACATGAAATATGGAATTTTGTTTTGGGATGACTACCATTAGCTTGTAATTTTCATTAATGACCTACCATATTGGGAGAACCCGTTATCATATATTTATATGCAGACGATACTACAATCCAAACAAATGCTAAATATGGAGCTTGACTTGTTTCAGGTAAAGCAACGTATGTCTTTTTTAGAAATATATCTGTATATCAACTCATGTATTGTGAATTCAATGAAATAAATGATAATAATGTTCATTATCAAATTTATTCCATTTGGCTGGTACAAACCGTTGAAACATTTCATGATATGATAGTCACAAATTTTTAAATTTCAGGTAAAAAGTCCAACATCAGGAACAGTAAATGTGGTTAGAGTCGAATTTAATCCCACCATACCACACTGCTCCTTAGCCACGCTTATAGGACTGTGCATAAGGATCAAAGTAGAGAGAAGTATGCCAATCCCTATAAAACTAGATATTTATATCAAAAGTGGAGCACATACCACAGAACATGAAAGTAAGTATAATGTGCTTTTCAAGTTACCCAAAACTAGGAGTAAACATCTTCTTAAATCTGTTACAGCCAAATATTTTCACTCAAGTGTTGAGTCCTTAAATACTTGTCTTCAATCTTGAAAACTTCAATTTGGCATATACAGTCTTAAACTCTTCAACATTACCTTCAAATTGTTGTGAGGAATGGGGAACTAAGCGTGCAAAAAGTCCCCAGTTATTTATGTGTCGACGAGGGTGATTTTGAACTTTTGTTTGCTCATTAGGCAGCCTTGTTTTTTTTCAAAAATCAGTAATTATGGTATGTGTTATTTGTTCAGGTTATATACACACTATAAAACTCTGTTCTTGTCAAGTTTCACCCATTCTGTGGTGAGGTTAAATTAGAGTCCCAGGTTAACATTAGATTCCCAGATAGATGTTGAGATACAGCTTGTCAAATCTGTTAAGAGACTTGAGAATTAGCTCTCTCTCTCTCTCTTGCTCTCATAAATAAAAGCTTGTTCTTGCAAAAGTTTTTCCTTTACTAATCATACTAATAATATTAGTTTGTACTTTGATTAATCAAAGAAGATTCTATTTTCACTTTCTCAATATTTCGAATCATTAAATTTTTTCAAATATTGAATTCATAGAAAGCCACTTATGTTATGAATTATCAAATGTACAGCCAGGGGGGCTATTTTTGATACACTCACAGTTCTACTTATATATAGTTCTGCGAATTGTCCGACTCATTGGCGAGAAACAATAAAATTGCAGATGAATGATTCAAGAATACCCACCCACTCGAGATATTTTTTTAACTAAGAACCATCTGGTCAAGCATACTTTCGATATGGACTAAACTTTTCTCTATGAATATTGAAAGCAATATTGACAAGAAATCAAGTTCTTAAGCACGAAATTGAGAATATAAACAGTACAAAGACTTTTCATTTGTTTACCGTAATAATTTCTTTCATTTTGTAGAAAGGTAATATATTTTTCTTTTCAGTAAATAAACAAATTAATGACAAAGAACGGATAGCAGCTGCCATGGAGAATCCAAACTTGAAAGAAATGGTTGAAAATTGTATATTAGAAGAAGACTGATGTATTTTAAAAATTAATCATTTTGTTATAAATATATAATTTGATGGCTAACTTTGAGCAGTTGGACAGTGAAAGAATATGTTACAATCCAGCAGTTTTATTTTTTTTGTAAAACTCTTCCTACTACAGATGTAGCTGATTGGGAGTTGAATGATGGTTTCAAACTCGTGATGTGTGACTTGTCAAATCGTCGAGATTTATGTTAGGCAACTGTTTGATTTTGAATTATCCTAGTACCACTTCATTGTAAGATTTTTACAAAACCGTAACAATTCTTTCATTATACCAGCCATACTTCAAGTATGGCAGCGGAACCCTAGGGTTCCGCCATAACGCCCTTTAAGGGTACCACAAGAAATTTGAAACAAATTCAAAACACCTTTCTCTGGTCGACCGTTTTGACGCGGTTTCGACTTCTGAGGGTTATCGTTGTAGGGGGCGACAACTAGTTAACGGGAAAAACATATTTTTAACATAAATGATTGGCATACTTTGTGAAGCGCACACAAACGGGCCGCCACTCAAGAAGACAAAGCTACCGCTGCTTTGCCGAAAAACGGCGTTCAACTACTCCAAAGAATCCGCTGCAAGCCATTTAGGTGAACGTACCCTACAATTTTACTATGTCGCCACCGCCGATATCTACTTGTGAGCGCGCAGTCCCTTTGATAAAAGCCGCTTCTGAGATAAGACGTTATAGTTGTGAACTGACGACTTTCAAAACATAAGTCGAGATTGTTTACATCGAATTTTTTGTATTCCTATTTTTATTTTGGCTTTTTACTTATCAAAGGCGCCCACTCGAGTATTTTTGAGAATCTTCGAGATCGAGGCTAGGACTATAAAAGCGACGATTGCGCCTCGGCACATTCTGACCCCACCAACCTGTCATGTAACATTATTAATGAAGAGGAATGGAACGTTGGCTTAAGGGCGTTAAACGTGTTGCGACAAAATCTTTTAATGAAGCTGAATGTAAGTTTGAGAACCGTTGATATAGTCCATTAATGAGGCTGATGCCTGTTGTTGAATCCACAAACAAGGGGTTATACGAGGTCTGTTCAAAAAATAGGGTGAATTTTCAAATTTCGCGGGCCACGTACTGTCGATTTTCTTATGTTGGTAAACTTGTACCGAACATATGTTCACATTTTCAGCTCTTTAACATGTTTAGTTTGTTGGTGAGAGGCATAAAAGTTAGATGTTTTTTGCGTGTTCGGCGATTTTCTGTCTGTTATCGAAAAAAAATCGATCATAGAATTTGCATCAAATTTTGTGTAAAATATGGAATTAAGTGTTCAAAAACACTTGAAATGTTTACAGTGGCACACGGTGATTGAACTGAGTCAGAAAATCGTCGAATCACTATTAGAGCAGTTGGCTCATGCCATACAATTTTTCCGGAAATTTTGGGCATGAAGTGTGTGGCAGCGAAGTTCGTTTCAGAATTGCTGAATTTTGACCAAAAAAACTATCACATGAGCATTGCTCAGGAATTATTGTATGACGTCAACGGCGATTTAGATTTGCTTAAAAGGATCATAACTGGTGACCAATTATGACATCGAACCCAAAATCCTATTGTCCCAATGTGTAAGAGCCCAGGAGAGCCAAGACCAAAAAAAGCAAGTCACGTGTTAAGGTTTTTCTTACAGTTTTTTTCGATTACGATGGTGTTGTGCATCAAGAGTTCTTGCCACATGAACGTACGGTCAATAAGGGGTATTATATTGAAGTTATGTGCTGGTTGCGAGAAGCAATACGAAGAAAATGTCCGGTATTGTGGAAAATAAACTCATGGCTTTTGCATCATGATAATGCACCTACTCACTCCCTATTGGCAGTTCGTAATTTTTTGGCTAACACTGTAATTATGCCTCAGCCACCGTATTCATCTGATTTGGCCACCTGTGACATTCCTGTTCCCAAGATTGAAGAGGCCCTTGATAGGAAAAAGTGCATATCAGAATTGTTTCATGGATTGAAAAAAACGCTGGCACATGTGTATTATTATACCTGAAGAGGACTACTTTGAAATGGTCAAAACAGAAATTGGTGAATAATCATCTTTTGCGAAAAATCAAAATTTACTCAACTTTTTGAACAGACCTCGTACATTCACTTCTTTATGGTGTTTAAACTTCCAAATTGGAAAGGTCACATTGCATATCAGATTGATGAAAATAAAAAAAGTTTTATGTAAATATACTTTATTATTAAAGAAAAATTTGAATTACCAAAAGCTTGCATCTAGGCAACTCTGAAATTACTGCAATTATGCTAAAAATATATAATTCCTAACAAATGGAGTTTTAATCTTTTGAGGACCCTGCTAGTTGTCCTTTGTAAACAAAATAAAAGATATATATACATTATGGAGAAGCATCCCAAGCCTTCGGAGGAGAAATCAAGAGTTGGGTTCTTATTTACACCACCAATAAACAAGATATTCAACTCCACTTCAGTGATATATTAATAACTTTGAATCTCTTGGGTTAGATGGGTGCCTACATATTTTTATAAAATTTCAACAAACCTAGCAACCATGAACATTTTATGAGGCCCAAGCTTCGAGTTCTTTCATATCGTCATCTTCCTCCACTTTTTCTGGAAAAAAAAAAAAAAATGTCACTCAAGTTCGTTTACATAGAAATTTTTTATTGGCATCGACATACTGCACAGTTTGTCTGACTTTATTGAAACTATTTGTACATAAATGAACTTACAAAGGAAGACAATCAACAAATACTGTTACAAACCTCAAAGTCATATGCGGCTAGCTATACTTGCTGTGTATTGCTGCCAAAAAAAGATAATTTTCTCATAAAACACATTCAAATGCCTGATGCCCGAGGAAGCTATTGTATGGTGAAACACATGTTGAGGTTTGCTGAACTGTCCAGTGAGAATCTCACAATGAAGCATTACTTTAATTGTAGGGTTACTTACTGGACACTATCCGTTTAGGGAACCTGAACAAAATAGAGCCCTTTAATGGAGACCTTAACGGTAGACAATGCAACAAAGGTACAATGGGACAGAGATAGCTCTGTCCCATATAAAATGAATTGAGAAAATGAATATTTCAAATGAGAATTTTGAACATTTATCTCTTCCAACGTTCCTATACTCGTAAGATCTGACTAATGTTTGGAAACAACTACTTGCATAGCTACTACCATGAAGGATATTGAATTATATATTACATAAAATGAAATCAAGACACAGTATTATTTTTACAAAATTCTTGTTAATGAAATCTTGAGGAAGAGTCTTGAAAAATACTCACTAGCTGGTTTGACTGGCTTGGCAATGGCGCCAGTTGGGACAGCTGGCAATTCCGTCGGTCCAGGAACCTTGAGTAAATCTTCCTCCAGACCTTCTTGTTCAAGTTCTTCTAGTTCTTTCTCCAACTCAGCATCGTCCAAGTCATCTGAGAATCCAACTGGGTTGCTGATGGCATTAGAGATTTCGTTCGCAATATCATGTTGCTCAGCAATGTCATCCATGATGTCATGCACATTGTCCACGTCCCTTTAAAGAAAATGTTTTGTTCACAAACATGATCATAAAAAAATGAAAACGGAATACAATATTTCATTGATGCCTCATAATGTTAAGTTGTTTCATTTCTGGAGGAGCGAATGGGGTGACCCCCCTTTCCATCAGCAAAAAAAGTGAGACTGAAACTAACAAAGTAACTATTTTGTTTGTTTAATAAGCTAATCAAGTATGTAAGTTAGGTTAGTAGTTGATTATGTGTGTTATGTTGGCAATAATGACAGTCAGGAAAGGGTTTTTCAACGAAAGATGTGTAGTTCTTGATTTGTGTAAATAATTTTGTGATAGTGGATGTGGAAACCCTGTCTGTTATTACAAATTATCTTATATGATTGTCTGAATGTAGTCAATGACAATAAATGAATAATTTCACTTATATTTGAAATATTATTAGTAATCAGTGATGCCAACTATGATGTGAAATGGAGAGAATTATCACCAAAAAGATGCATTATTGGAGATTTTTATAGGAAAGTTGTTGATTATGAACTGGAAAGTGTGAAGGATGGTGAAATGAGATGTGAAGGTGAGTGGTGAATAAATACTTGTATTTTTTTATAGTTTGTGTCATGCAAAAAGAAAGTAAAATAGAATGTTGTTTTTCTAAATTTTATGTTGTGCAAAAAGAAGGGTGGGACTTTGATGTGCTGTTATTCTGGAAATAAAGGAGAACACCAATTTTTTTTGGGTTCGTAATAAACACGTCAAAATATGTAGGTACATCCAATTTTTTTTTCAAAATCGGAGGAAGCAGCCTATCCAAAATTTTATCCCACAATTTACGTAGGTACCAACTGCAGTACCTGGACAAAGTGAAATACTCCCACCAGTATTTCCTTTTTAAGCATTTGAAATTCCTTACTAGCTTCTAAATTGATAATATCCAGATTCAGGTTAGCCATCGAGACGCTCTTAGAACATTCAAAAGTAATGTCACAGTAGAGTTTTGGAAAGTCTTATGAGAGTCCTAGAATTGTCCCAAGTGGAAACCGAATAAGTCTATTGATTGCAATGTAATTGAAACCAAAACAGACCATATTTCACTTGAAAAACAGGATGTGTTTTGTGTTAAAATATTGGCTATAGGTACATGCTGTCAATTTTATTGTCAAACCAATTGTTACCTATAATTTTTTTTTATTATGAAGGTCGACAAAGTTGTAAGAGTAACACTGCATTCGAACTACAAATGAAAATTAAAATTTGGATTCATAGTATCCAACTATACAACACCAAAAGCCTCTTCTATTTTGTCACAACATATATGGTTAGTACTTACAAGTTTTTATGGGCTTTCTTAAGAGCTTCAGCTGCATTTTTCATAGATTCCAATACTGTGGTGTTCGTACTAGCTCCCTCCAGAGCTTCTCGTTGAAGTTCAATAGTAGTTAAAGTGCCATCTATTTGCAACTGATTTTTTTCTAATCGCTTCTTTTTCTTGAGGGCTTGCAGGGCCACTACATGAAATCAACTGAGACATATACAGATATTACTGTGAAAGGACATAATTACCTCTTTTGTTTTTTGATGCATTTTTCTTTGCTATTAGAGTATATTCTTCAATCTTCTTTTCCAGAAAGTCTTGCTTTTTAATGAGCATTTCCTCAGTATCTCTAAGTTTTTGTATTGCCTCTGCAGGCGAGGCCCCTTCATCTTCTTTCTTGCCACCGAATAATTTACCGAAAAAACTCATATTTGCACTAAACAAGCAACAAATTATGGCTGATAGACCAACTACTATTAGTCATTCACAGTGTCGCCAACCCAATAATGTTTTAACGCGAAGTTGATGTCAAAAATCCGCATAATCTTATCGAAAAGCGCGAAACATAAAAAACTTGCTTGAAAATTGAAGTATTAGAGAATTAGGGTAAAAGAGATGTTTCACTCAGTTGAATAAATAAATTTCTCCAAAACCGAGATCAATTTGTGTCATTGCAGTTGACGAAAAAATAATAGTACTTTCTAATTTAACTCTGAACGTAAGAACATAACAATGGGTGTATCACAGGTCTCCATATTAGGTTCGGTCGGTCGGTGGCCAGGCGGTTCGACGCGGGTGCTTTGTTCACTCACTCGAATTGACTGCCGTGTTGGTCGGTGGTTCAAGACCTAGTCTGAACGATCGATTTTCACTTCCAACCCGTGTTAGGAATCACACGTTAAAAGGTAAGACCTCGTTAATCCTTAGCTCGCACAAGTTTCGACTTCTGAGGGTTGTCGTTCGTAGGGGTGCGATAGCTGGTTAACGGAAAAACAGATTTTAAACAGATTTTTTGTATTCTCTTTATAATCGAATACAGTAGTTGAATAGCCTATTCTGATGATTTTTCTGTATCTGATACTACAACTTAAGAAAATGAATGTTCAAAAGCATTAAACCAAGTATCCAGTTTTTTATTGGGCAAGATTTATTTTTCAACACAGTTAAAACACAGGTTGATTGTATTGACAACCGCCAGAAATAATTGAAAATCTCCAGTTCAAAGTAACTAACATATTTTAAAAAAAGGGATGGTAGCAGTGTTGAGTTTTTAGGTATTTATTTGAATGCATTTTTTAATTGGTATATAGTCATTGCCAACGTCTGATATCCAAATAAATTCCCTGAAGTTCCTTTTGAATAATTTGAGATCGGTATTGACTAGAGCTCAGTTATTTAGTATATATTATCACAAACCACCTAAGTAGTTTGTGATATATTATGCTCATGTAGACTCTAGAATTAGGTACGGTTTGTGGTTCTGGTGAGGTTAAACTCCAGCAAAAAATGTATTCGTTGTGCATAAGCGCACCGAACTATGCATGGCAAATATTTTCCAGAGAAAATCTTGTGGACAGTATTTTAAAAAACAAGAAAATGAGCCAAATTTTACATTGAACAAGAGTGTTCACAACCACGATACGTGTATCAAAAATCAGTTTCATGTGCTAATTGCGAAATTAATAGTGAATTATTTTGGGCCAGAATCCATTGTTCCGAAAATTAACAATAATATTTCTGGATATATGTGAAGGCTTCAAAGTAACTGTATAAAATTTCAAACAAATACTGAAAGCATATTATCTGTTGGATTTCTGAAATAATTCTTAAGTATGTTCTTAGTCCCATGATTAATTTTTATTATCTTCATATTATCTTTTTGATGATGTATTATTATTATTATGATTAGCGCTCTGTACCATTGTTGTTTCGGTTTGAAAATAATTCGAAACAGATTATGTTGAAAAAAGTACCATTCGACAGAAAATTGCAACTTTTGAATGAATTGCAAACAAAGCGCAATATTTAGGCAGAGAGGGTAATTTTTTTTTCAAAAATGATAATTTAATGGGGGTAGATAGTTTTCGCAAGGAATATTTTAAAATGCAAATGATTTTCATTATGTTATCAATCGTTTTGGCAACAATTCCGAAATGAGAGTCGCATTGAGAATTTTGATTGTGATCAAACAATTTTTATGGGGAACAAATGTTTTGGCATCCTACTTCTCTATCTTTACACAAAAAATGTGGAAGACTTTGAAAGGAAGGAAGAAAACAATCAATTTTGAAATGAACTATTTACAAAGATATCTAGATCATGCGTAGATATTACTTTCATATACAAACTGGAAGATAAAGCCCTCTCTTCCAAAGCAATTACTTTTATGAACATTGAATTATTCAAGATGAACACTTTATCCTATTCAGTTTGTACTCTGAACATCTGTTATCGAGTTGAATATTCACAGGAATGCTACACAATACAGTATACGCAAGAGATAAAATTTCACTTACATGGAACACTGTCATCCTCAATGGTGGGCATCGATGTTTCGGAATAAGACACTTCAGTACTAATCTGGCCACCAATTACAAGATGAAGCACTCAATTTATGCATAATAACATTACGACCTTATGTCAGGATGATTCAAAACTACTCATGTCACGTTGACAGTACCTAATGACATGCATACGTTTATTTGATTTAATCCCAACCACAGACATTTTTTAAGAGAGATCAGTTTTTGGGAGAGAAGGGTGTTGTCTTTCTACTACTCTATCTTTGAACAAAAAGTGAAGGAAACTTCTGTAGGAAGAAAGAAAGCACAAAGATGTGTAGATCATGCATGGAAGTTATTTTCAGATACAAGCTGGAAGAAAAAGCCCTCTCGCAACAATTACTTCCATATAAACATTTCACGAAAGGAAAAGTACTCTCGAAACAACTACTTTACATGAAATTTGAATGATACAAAACACGTTTTTCCATCCAGTTTATACTCCAAACAGGGCCGTCGTCATGGGGGGATGGGGGGAGCCTCCTCTTCTGCTTTTTCGACTTGGGAAAAAGTTGGGAAATTTTGGACCATGAAGATAGAAAAAATAGGAGAATTATACAAAGTGAGGTGGAAATTTTCTCCTCTAAACACCAGAGCCATGTTCCAACGGTCGCCACACTCGTGCAGTTATCTTTAAGAGCCAACTTCACACAGGTGTAATATGGCCCGTACGTCAAATGTCATGTCTCAGATAATTTCTTTCCTCTGTGGCCAAGCCAAGGATGAAGAGAAGAAGAAGTATTTTTTACGTCAGAATAAGGAAATTTCGGGAATGTAGGGACAGGAATATTTTCATCATTTGAAAATAGCTTTCCAAGATACTGCGAATAGTACGATTAATAAATTTAACCAGATGCTGAACAATGCATGAGTCACTTTCAGTAATGAAAAATCGTGTTTATTACGCTGCTAAAGATGGAATGGCCATAGCTCTGTACACTTTAATAAGTGAAATAGACAAAATACAAGCGAATCTCCTAATAAATGAGGTAAATAACCAACATATTTGTGACATTGCATTTTCTTTGTTCTCGTGGGCATATCTTGTTTACATCTGATTTGCAATATTGCAGAAAATATCTGAAGAAGATGGGCAGGAATATACACCACTCATAGTAGCAGCTAGAAATGGACACGAAAAAGTTGTACAAATACTTTTGAAAAAATTTAGCCCTGATCTGGAACAAGAAGGCACTGTCAAATTTGATGGTTATGTTATAGAAGGAGCTAGTGCATTATGGTGTGCTGCTTGTGCAGGTAAATGATTTTGATGGTCACTGCATTTAACCTAGGAAGGCTGCTTTCAATAGTCAGCAGAAGATGAAAATAATTTAAGGTGTTCACTACACATTAGCATTTCCTTGTCCAAAATTATTTCAAGGTCCATTATTTCCTTCTGTTGTATATTTAGATTTTTTTCAGGCCTTGTGTTTGTCTTCAAAATATGAGGCCAATGCCAAAAATGTGTTTCATTGATGAAATTCCGAGAGGGCATTTTTGAGGTATAGGAAGAAACAGATCAAAGTTCTTCATAGATATAGATAGTTTCAACTAAACATTTTACTTGGTATGTCTATGAAGAGAATATGTGTTATTTACGGAAATGAGTCTGAGATTGGATATATTTTTATTATTTATGACAGATAGTATGCCTCAAAGATGCCCCCATAGTTATTTAACAGTATTCCCAATTACCTGGGATCAAAGCAACTCAATTCAATTTAAAAATACTGTGCAAAAACAATATAATTCAGGTTATTCAAAGTGATGTCTGCATTTATAGTCTAGAATTTTAACCAAACTTTATATATTTAGTCTTTAAAAGAGGGCTAAACCCAGAGATCCTTGCACATTGTTTATTATTCAAAGGTTCATGAAACTCGTTTATATTTTGTGAAGTGTCCGCAAAAAATTGAGATCGATCAGAAGGCTACATTTTTAGCACAAAGCATATTAATATATTTCTGCGAACAATAGTAGTGAACACACATAAACAAGTTATTGCATAGTGTAAAACGTGTTGCGATTTTATAAACTGTGTAGTGAGAATGTCACAATAAACTGTATCTCAAATATATTATCATTTTCATCAAGTATGACCAAATTGCCCAATAAAATAATATTTTATTGGTATTATCAATACCCAAAAGTCCCTGGCAAAAAAGTCGATCATATTGATCTAATTATGTTGTTTTGGAGCAGTGCTTGTTTTGGATTGTTTAATTATTTTAATTGTTTAAGGAAATCTAAATATATGTAAAGCTCTTGTGAAAGCTGGGGCAGATGTGAATCATGCCACGAAAACCAATTCTACTCCTCTCAGAGCCGCGTGTTTTGATGGAAGACTGGACGTAGTTAAATACTTGACTTACCACAAAGCTGATATAAACATAGCAAATAAATATAACAATACATGTCTAATGATAGCATCGTACAAGGGACACTTAGATGTAGTAAGTATTTGTTATGCGTTTTAGTTTTTTGGCTTTTACTTTGACATTTCATCACATTAATAATGCTGATATTTTCGCTATAAAACACTTAAATGGACCAACTGACCAGACGTAAGTCAAGTGTTCATTAAGAAATGTACAAGTTTTGTTTGTGTGGTTTGAATTTGACTGCAGCTCCAGGACTTTGGCGTTTTTTTTCTAGTTAGTTGTAGGACTTTTAAAGAGTTCATTTCATTTGATGTACCAAGTTGAATGGCATAAATTAGAATAAATCAGTGTGAATTTGACAGCAACTTTGATTCTAGCAGTCAAACGATCAGTGGCATCAGTGTGAAACCAACATTTCTCAACATAGACAATTCTCATACAAAAATGTTTCAAATTTATAATTCGTGTTCATTAGATGGCGGTGTTACTAGCTAACAGTCTTTCTCTTAGATGAAGGTTTCATACATACAATCCAGCAGCGTTAAAATTAATCAAGTCCCAGGCACAACGCTGTTTGGGTAGGATCTTTCCTCCACTGATTAGAGGTAATAACTTTAAACCAGTCTATAGGTGATCTACTCTATTGATTTCAGTATGGTCTTGCTGCTGGATGAACGAGAAACATCTGCCACACTAACCTCTGTGAGGTATCTTGCATGACTATCTGTGGGATGTAATTCAATGTCCATCGTGGTATAAGCCGAAGAAGTATTTTTTTTCTGGCAGGCATTTACCAGATCCTGTGTTGGTATTGGTAGAGATAAATGTTTCGAGATTTTATTTTGAAATATTTATTTTCTTGTACATACGCATCTCTCCTCTCTTTTGATTTCTATTAAAGTATTGGTACGTGAGATGTTTCTCACCCGTTTTCGGGCTTTGTTCACGAGATGGAGCTATTGCTAGTTAACAATCAAATACTGTAGGGTCTTCCAATAGGGATTTCCAAACTTTCACAATTGACAACGGTCATCTTGTTGAAGCTACATCTGTCAAATTAGTTGGCATTTATTCAGTCTGTTTTGATAAATCACCATGGACGGATGTAGCATTTAACAACGTGCAAATAATAAAATTGTTTCATCAAAACGGGTGTTCAGTTCGGGCAACGTACCGCGCGCTTTGGGGGTACCTTATACTTTATTACCTCACCATTACTATTGAGAATTTTGCCAGCATAGCCTATCGAGTCCCCAAATTATGGAATAAAACACAACATCATATCTCTAATAAATTCTATCATACAGGATAGGCCAATTGGTGTTTGGTGTTTTGAAAACATCATATTTTCAACATCCCACACTACTTCCACTCCTTCGTCAATGTTAGATACAAATCTCAAATTTTGAATGTGATTATGGGTCAAACGATATTTTGTTTGAAAATTCATTTATTTGCTTATTTACAATTTAGTTCTTGTAATAAAAAAATTGTTAACTTGTGTTGAATGTAAAAATGATGACTAACTTACATTCTATTTGTGTACATAATATCTCATGGCATTTTTACCGCAACTATTTCGACTTATTAATTCGCTCGCAATGGTTTATTTAACTGCTGAATGGGTAGGGATAAAGACTTTTAATTTCTTATCGATTGCTGCTTCACCTTTGAAAATCTGTCCATTTTTTTAAACTGTGAAATGCCAACAATATGTTTTCCAAAAAATTAAATGGATTCTTTTTAAAAAACTACCATTTCAATTAGGAAAATCTGGAAATGTTCTCCAACCTCCATACCGTAATATATGTTATCTTCAAACTTTTGTCAAACATTTTGAAGCACTTGCAATGACACTTCAAGACATACCCTAAGACTCACCTTCGCAGGTATTTCAATGAGTCCGGTGACGGACCCTTCGTTTTTTGTGTCCCCACAAAAATTTTAAAGGACCAAAGTCGGATAACCAAGGATGCCACTTGATTGCATCCTTTCATTATATTCATTGACCACAAAACCTGTCATTTTAATAATTATACCTATGTTGTGATCAATGTTGTGGAGTACAGTCTTCTTTTTTCTGAACTGTAAAGCTAAACACTATCATCATAGGTAGACATGACCATAAAAATATAGTCACCATCTATGAAAAACAGAATAATGAATTCAAAAATCAATCCATCCTGCCAACGCAAATAAAAATTTTAGTTTTCTGAATCGTTTGCCACCTTTTGACAGAAAAAGGGAGAATGGATATGATAATAATAATAGTTTTTATTATCCTGTAAGACAGTCAAAAAGGTATGTTGTGTAAGATTAGCAATAGAAGAGCTTAAAAATCAAACCAAAAATAAGTAGACAATTTATTAAGAGTAACACATTCATTGAAATTTTTATTTTATTATTCAATAATTTACTAAAGGAAATAAACGTTTTTCTCTAGTAGAAAAGATGCAAGTGTAATTTTGAAGCTGTGGATAGTGCTATAGTTTTTCAGTTCAAGGGGTAGTGAATTAAATAATCTGTGCGCTATTACATTGTGGAATAGCAAGTCAGTGCATTTTTACAATATGGCACATGAAAGTCTGTCTTACATCTAGTGTTAATAGAATGCACATTTTCATTTCAATTACGGTTATCATGTATAAAACATAATTCGAATTTATACAGACATGGTGATGTTAGTATTTCAAAAAGGCTTTCAAAACCTATTATGAGAGTTTTATTTCACATTCATGTTAATTTCTATCTGGAGTGTGGTAGGGATATGAGTATGATCAAAGTTTTATGTAGAACTGCCTCAATGAGGAATGTCACCCATTTACAAACTGAAAGATTCGTAAGACCAGTTAGTTGTTTAAAAATATCCTCCTTCTCTAAACTATATCCATAATCACACTACATTTTTGAAGCATATAAGGGAAGAAATAATAGACGTCAACTTTGTAACACCTTTGAAGAACCTTTTCTTTTTCTTTATTGAAGGATAATTACTTCCAAAACCTGACTCATGGATGGTTTTTACTGCAATTTTCTGTTTATATTAATTTTGCACTACCTATTTTCAATCAGTATTTCAATGTGCTAATGTTTGAGACACCATTCAGTTTCGTTTTTTAGTATTAATTTGATTTTTTGGATGACAGACATATTGAATATTCAAACCTGCTTTTTTTTGTTGTTATTTTTACATTCTGTTGATTAATACAAATACTTATAAGGACATTTCTATTGTCCTTGTGTTTAAAATCATTTTCTTATACATTTCCATCAGAATCTGTTGAAATGGAACACCGTTTTTTTCTCTGGACCCTTCAATTGTGCTTTTTATGCAACAATCATATCTAACTAATCACGTCACTAATCTGATGGCGATCATGAGATACCAGTGACCCGCGTCTGAATTCTAGGTTAGTTTTTTACTAGAAAACGGTGCCAATCCTAATGAAAAAGCTCTCTGCGGTGCCACCGCCAGCCACTTCGCAGCCGAATGCGGATACCTCGAAGTGGTGAAGGAACTCCTCAAGTACGACGCCAAATTCTCGAACAACGACGCCGGCATGACGCCCATCAAAGCTGCCGCTGAAAGGACAAGGTCGGACGTCGTTGAATATCTGGCGCAGAGGCCGGAGATCAGTCTTGAGGATAGGATCGAAGCGCTCGAACTACTAGGGGCATCATATGCGAACGATAAGGAAAATTATGATCTAGTCAAGGCATATAAGTATATGCACATGTCGATGGAATTGAGGTAAGTTAATACATCGTTATTTAGTTAGATATACACATAAAGACAGACATACTTTATTCAATCATATGCAAATAATACATATTTATGACAAGTTAAAGAGATATCACTAAGTTATAATGCTAGCAATACAAGCAGAATAAAATGAGAATGAATCAAATTAAGAACTACAACAACTTTTTAATCATTAACAATAGATAGATGAATTGTTCAAGTATAAGTTCGTATTGATAAGTTATACATGTTATATGTTGTTTATTGACCTCTATTCATACCCAAGGTGACATGGATAAACAAGATCAATGTCAATGCTGCCTTATGCTGAATCAACATCCGGCAATACGCAGTTTTCCAAAACAATGACACAAAGGACCTTTATTTTATTTGTTCCATTTTTAGAATATGTAATCAATTATATTTCTATAAATACGTCCTGCATGGCGAAATGAGTTACTTATAATTACAGTTACATTAAAGTACGTTTAGAGTCAGTTTCTGTTCAATTGTAACTCAAGGGAATACAGTACTGTTTCCTTTTTTTCAAAATGAATAATTTTTCAAAAAATTAAAATTCCCAAAGTGAGATATAACATACATGTTTATTCGAACACTGAAGTAGTCCGCAAGATGAACCAATAATAGTAAAACTCCAGTTGATTTTGTAATAACTAACTGTAATAATAAATATGCTAATGTACAAGTCAAAAATGACAGACCCCTTTATCATAGCAGTTAACTGTTTCAAAAGCTGCATTAATGAGCAGATGAAATTGTAATAACTAGAAACATATCAAATCAAACATATCATGAGATCAACTTATGTTACTAGAAAGTTGATCAATCAGTGCTTAAATTTTGTCTCTTGTTGATGTTGATTATGTCATGCAAAAAATTGATAAAACTGATACTTTTGTGAATGAGCTTGCGCCACAACCTAATGTAATTATTAGACACAATCAAATACTATATAATGACACCAAATTGAAAATGAAATCATAAGAAAGAGATTGGGCACATCCAAATTTCAGATATTGTATAGCGAAAGTCCTATAAAACCTGATACTTTCCAAAAATGTTATCAAATAATTTTTTCATCTCCTGAGCCCTATATTGTAACTGATTCATTAGAGATGGCTACAGCATTCAATTAATATTTTATCAATATTATTGATCACATAACTAACAACATTAGCCCAAATAGACTAGGGTCATTTTAGAATTACCCAGTGGTAAATTGTTCTTTTAAAACATAGAAACATCGGTAGAATATGGGGTTCCTCAGGGCTCGGTACTGGGCCCGCTACTATTCTTGATTTGAATCAATGACTTACCTGCGGTGGTGCCAGACGCTGAGGTGATCCTCTTTGCTGATGATACAACATTGATTGAAACAAATCTCTCCATAACTAATTTAAATGAAAAAATCATAGAGGCACAGTTGAAGGTTGTTGATTGGTTCAACTGTAACAGGCTTCGCTTAAATGACTCAAAAACTGACTATATTGTTTTCTCTCTTAGAAATCATGACACGGAGTTGAAAAGTCAAATGTGAAATTTCTTGGAGTAATGCTTGACTCATCTTTAACATGGAAATCTCATGTTGATTATTTAGCGAAAAAACTATGCAGGGTAACTTATCTCCTAAAAAACTTGGCCAAAATTGTTAGCAATAAAGTACTATTAAAGGCTTACTATGCTTTATTTCAGTCACTAGTTCTGTATGCATTTCTCTGTTGGGGCCACTCGGCACATACTGAAAGAATTTTTGGCATCCAGAAACGAGCCATTTGATATATGCTCTCTCTTACTTATAGGGAGGATATTAGAGAAAAATTTATAAAAGTTGGTATCTTAACTATACCGTCACTATACATTTATGAATGCATTAAGTTTATAAAAATCAATAAAAACTTATGACTTAGTATCCTCTTACTCATTTACATAATACCCAACAAAAAAATAATTTAGTTCTACAGTATCATAGGTTGTCTAAAATCAGAAATTATAAAAATTATTATGGTCCAATATTCTTCAACAAAATTCCTGAAGCTATACGCTGCACCCTTACTAAAAGTTTTCTACAAATGATAAAAAAACCACTTATCAAAAAAGCGTATTATAGCATTGAAGAATTCCTGTCTGATGATGTGGTCTCTTCTTTGCCGATGTTGCAGTGACACACAGGTAGAGCATACATTTATAACTATCTTTAAGTTTAAACCTTTTATATTATGTAGATGTAATTGTAACCATGACTTACCTATTTTACTAGTATATTCCCACCTGACTTGTGTAAACATGAAGAATGTAAAGCATCAATAAAATTTCTTTCATTTAGAAAAGTAAATATAGTTGAGAAAACTTATATTCTCATTAAGAAAACAGAATAATTCTGAAACCAATAATATAAAATTTAAAAAAAGTATCTTTGATCGACTTACCCCTATGAATACTATGCTCAATTATCTTCGGTGGTTATCAATCTCAAACAGATTTTATTATCTAAATATGATTTCTATATTCAAAATAATGAATCGTATTCAACCTAACTATTTTAAAATTTTCATCGAAGTAAACACAGTAAAGTCCACCAATATGACACTAGAACAAATATAAGCTTCCATGTATCCAGGGCAAACTCTAGGTCAGCAATAAAGATTCATACTAATATGGCGTCTGCACAAGATGACCAGCTATTTACTCCGCAAGAAAACGTGAATTCTATATGTAAACACTGCTCGAAAAAAGTCAAAAATAAAGTTTAATGTATGTCTATGAGTGTATTTGTATCTAGACTTACTGAAGTTTCATTTATTTATTTTTTCGTGACGTTATTTAGTTATGTTAGAGGCATAGCAACTTGTGACAGTAACAAAAATTATAATGATAGATATTCATATCCTGAATTAGATGATAAATGATAAATATCCATGAAAATGTGATTTTCTGCAGTTATTCTACTGAAAACGCAAAAACGGCTATAGTTGTCACTAATAGCTAATAATATCACATAGCCCAAATAATAGTTTATAGGATGGATTTAAAACCAGTAGAATAACCGTGATCTCTGGAACCAATCTTTGCAGGTTCAGTGATCCAGATAACCCGATTAAGAAAAAATTAATTACACCTATTCCGGCTTACGAAAACTGGGTTGAATGTCAAAACGTCGCTGAGCTCGAAGCCCTACTAGGCAACAATAACAGCTTACACATGGAAGCTTTGACCATCAGAGAACGGATCTTGGGTACTCAGAATCCAGAAGTGCCCCATCCTATTATATACCGAGGAGCAGTTTTTGCCGATAATGCACGTTTTGACAGGTATGTGAAAGTGTTTTTTTTAATATTTTCATTGAGATACTTTGATATAATAATCGACAGTAATCCAAAAATACTAGAGATGAAATAGTTTTTGATTGCTTCACTATCTGAAAAGAACCAGATCTTTTTTTCTTTTAGATGCTTGGAATTGTGGTTGCATGCCCTCAAGCTTCGACAAAGAAACTATGTATCTGTTGTCAAAGACCTCCTCAGGTTTGCCCAGGTTTTCTCCCAGATGTTACACGTGGGCGTTAAGGTTTCTTACAATCACGTGTTTGAAGTATTATCAGCTGCTATAGTGGAACTTGAAAGAAACAAGATGAAAATGGTGAGGCCTGGCCCTAAAGATGATCCCGATACTGTAATGGTAATTTACTTATCTGTAGAACTCTTGGTTAGTATGATGTGTTGGTAAAAGTTTGAGCTGATTTTTTTGCTTGCTCATCTGCTGTAGTGTATCACGGATTATTCATACCATTTCTTATGAACAATTTCAAATATGCCGAGTTTAGAAAAAATTAATAAATGAATAATTAAAACTAATTTTTGCTATTGTACCGAATAATTAAAGTACTTAACTTTGTTTTTAGCATTAATTTCTTTCTTTTGGCCTCAACTAACTCATTTATCAGTTCAATACTCAATGATCTCGATAACATTGAAAGAAATCATCATTAAAAAGCAGGATTACATTTCAGTATTTTCATTTTCAATTGTGCCCCATATTGGGCGCCACATCATATCCTATCTGTAAGCTATTCTAATTGAAAATGTTCTTGTTTTAATTTCAGGACGATATTGAGAGTAACTTGACAACTACTTTGTACCTGTTAACTATTCTAACAAAACTATTGAAGCAGTGCTCCGACGAAGAAAAGTTCAATGTCAACCGAATGGTGTTCACATTGAACCAACTTGAGGTTACGCTAAGAGATGGGCAATCGCTGTTACACCTGGCATGTAATGCAGAAACGCCTGTGGATGATTTCCATACAAATGATATATGCAAGTAAGATTTTGTATATAGTTGCATGTGAAATTTATCGATTTATTTTAAGTGTCGTCGTGATCCTTGGGCGCTGGAGGTCTATAGGGGGGCAGTAAAGGGCACTGAGAAGATTGGGGGCGTTGAAACGGTTTATGGGGGCGATGGTTAATTTAAATTTTTTTTTGTTGCTTTTAACACAAACTTTACCGCTCCTTTACGCATAACGCGCGTTTTCTCGTGTAACGTCATCTAGGAGACTGGACAGTAGTTGTCAAACTGTACAGTAGATGGCGGTGAGCTTCAATGCGAAGCGAGAGGTTTCTAGTCTCCATTCTCGAAAGTACTAGGCCCGCCCGCTGCCTCATATAAAAGCGCGCGCGCCATCCAACCAGTAATGTCATTTGACGATATTACGAAAACAAGTGAATTTAGTTAGCGACTGGCTAGGTAAAGTGCTGTACGTGCGGTGGTGAATACTTTGAGTGGTATCATTAGCAAGTTTTTAATACTCAATTCTTTACTTCGGCATTTTTGAAGAGAAAATTATGTCGAAAGCAACAAAGAGGAAACGGCAGTATAGCGCGGAATATATAAAATATGGATTTATTGAAAATCCCACAAATCCATCTTCGCCTATGTGCCTTCTTTGTCAAAAAATATTTTTGAATGAAGCGATGAAACCCTCAAGGCTACAAGATCATTTGAATAAAACGCATTCAGATAAAAAAGACAAAAGTGTGACTTATTTTCCATAACTGGAAAAGAAACACTCAGCTCAGCCAACTGTGTCAAAACTTTTTTCAGCGGTTTCTAAGCAAGACGACGACGGACTCCGAGCTTCCTACAATATCTCCTTATTAATTGCTCAAACAGGTAAACTTCCCACTATTGGAGAGGATTTAATTTTACCGACAATGAAAAAGATATCAACTACTGTGCTCCATAAACCAGCGGCAGATATTATCCGAAAAATTCATTTGAACAATAGTTCCGTGCAAAGACGAATTGAGATGGCTGAAAACATTGAAGAGTCATTTCCAGGACATTTTAAATTGGAAATACCGGACTGGGTGTTGGATCCTTTTTCAAATATCAACACAGCAGGATCACCCCAGCTGGAAGAACTCATAGAACTGATAATGAACGAGGAAATAAAAATGGATACCAAGAATTTTGGCTACAAAAGCCAATCCCGCAATTGTACCCTGGATTTTGGTCCATCGTTCAACGATGTTTTATAGCATTCCCATCATCGTATTTGTGTGAGCGTATATTTAGTGCTGTGGCAACGTTGCTAACTAAAAAAAGAAATCGGTTGCAGATTACCGAACGCGGTGACTTACGGCTGTTTTTGAGTAAATTCGAGCTTGATATTAACAAACTTATTTAGATTAGTTTTAAAATTCAAATTGAAATATTTGTTTTGATAACATTAATAAAAATTTTCCTAATATTACAAAATGGTGTTTTACATTACCCTCATCAGAAAGTCTTATTTTCACATGACACACATAATTTAATTATTAAAATAATGACTGCGATTGTGATTCTTAAGATGTAGTGAAGTAAAAAAATTTGGGGGGCGCTAGAAAATAATTAATTCTCGAAGTGGGCGGTAGATAAAATAAATTTGAGAACCTCTGGCTTAAAAAGGTCATAACTGGTGACGAATCATGGGTATATGGTTATGACATCGAAACCAAAGTCAAATCGATCCATTGGAAGAGTTCAGGAGAGCCAAAACCAAGGAAAGCACACCAAGTTCGATCAAATGTCAAGGTTTTGCTCACTGTTTTCTTCAATTACGGTGGCATAGTACATCATGAGTTCTTGCCATGTGGTCGTACGGTCAATCAGGAGTATTATCTTGACGTTATGTGCTGGCACAAGTGTTTTATATCTGAGGGGGATTACTTTGAAGGGGACAAAATAGAAATTGATAAATATTCTTTGAGAAAAATGAAAATTCTCCTTATTTTTTGAACAGACAGTATATGTTAAGCCTAGGCAATTGTGTCTTGTAAGTCTTATATAAATTACACTTGAGGTAACGCATCTCTACGTGATCTATTTTATGATATTTCATCAAATATAGGTTCACAAATTCCAATAGGAGACAGTTGGACCTCTTTTTTTCTTTCACACAAGCGTGTAACAAATATTCTTGTACGCTGACTCAAAAATGATTCCCCTGTCAACCGATCAACTTATAGAACACTCCAATCTAATAACTGAAATGAATCAATTATATTACTGACTACAAGTTAGAAATCTTTCAGATTCCCCTGCGCAGAGACGACCAAACTTTTGATACAGTGCGGCGCTAACGTCAACGCAATGGATGCTGACAGGAATACGCCCCTCCACGTCATTGTCAACTATCATAAGGCTGTGTCTGATTTCATTACGTTACACTCTATTATCACAGATCTGACTGAAAATGGAGCCCATCTTGACTGCGTGAATAAACGTGGAGAGACGCCTCTGGAATCTTCAGCTACAGGTAGTAAGTGAATCTGATATTGTGTATTCTTACCTAGGGTTACCAGTAATTTTTTCAATTACAATCGAATTACAGATGTTTATCTGCAATTATGGTCTCTGTGAGGTATCTTGCAAAATTGTCTAGAAGTATTTTAATATCTGCCATAGTATGATAGATTATAACGTATTCCAAAAACACACTTTAGTGTTGGATTTCCTTTGAAAGTTTACAAAACCGCGGCACGTGTTTCGCTATTCGATAATATCTTCAGCCATCACAATACTGTTTGTACAAATTCTACGTCCTGGTTTTATATTAATTTGAATTATGATTTACTACCTGCCAAATTTCTACATGATAAATTCATTACCTCAACCATTTACCTATGTAGGAACAACTCATAAGACAGGAGAATAATGAATACATTTTTAATTTGAGCTATCATGTTACCTACTTTCAAGATCTGTCCTAATTACCAATTTTCTGGTTGAAAACTAAATTCAATAAAGGGGAAAAATTCAAATCTATTCGATCATTGAGCATTAATCCTGAATTTTTACGTCTATTGATTTCTAAAAAGTTGAGTTTTGAACCTTCTCTTCCAAAGGCAATACGTCATAATCGTGATTGAACTCGTGTCCCTCTGTCAAAGGATGGTTTGCAAATGTTGAACTAGTTTTTCCATTCAAAAAACGACTTTATGCTCTCTTATTCTCTTAGAAAAAGTTCTTCCGGTTTGTCAACTATAAAATTTCGGACTAGAACCCCAAGTCAATTTGTATACTCCCGATCTATTTGACACTGGATTTTTTTCTTTGTATTTTGTTTTGTAGTTGAATATGTATAAAAGAATACAACTCTTTAAAAAAATATGGTATGTTCCAGTAATCAGTGACTAAAAGAAAGTTGTAACGTGATACAACCCCTGTTTTTATTAATTTCTGTTATCTATATGTTTAGAAAGATGTTGGAATAAATAAAAAAAGTCTATTCACTTTCCAGGTGTAGCAGAAATAATACTCAAAACACAAATGAAATTGAGTCTGAAATGTATAGCAGCGAATGCTGTCAAACAGCATAGACTTACTTATCAAGGTCAGGTGCCTTTATCTTTGGAGTCCTTTATAGAACTCCACGGTCCTGGTATCAAGAAAGCCTAGTCAAATTTAGATTTTTAAGTACAATATTTTTTTGATAAACCAGATTGTATATTGTGTATAAATGCAGGAGCTTCTACGTGTTCAAATGTTTAATAAAACGTTTTCAAAAATAACAGTTGTCCTTGATTACATTGAGTTTTGATAACATATCAAAACTGAACTGTGTTTCGTTCCAGAAGACATAGAATAACCAAAACGTGTATGAGGTATGTTCAGCAAATAACAGAAACTTTCTTTTTTTGAAAATATTCTTTCATTTGCCTCCATTACATTGTCGCCTTCAAAATAGTCCCCATTAGATATGTTACGATCGGGAAATCGACCAGTGTCTGAACATAGACATCTAGGATCATTTTTGGTATATATACATACAGTCCTGAATGTCTATGACATCTCACATCTTTTTGGCCTAGATTTGCATGTCGCGACGACGCCGTAAGAAATAACACATCAGTCGCCCATGGCCGTCGTTTGGTGAAAAAAATAATCTAAGATATACTGGAAGGGGTAATGAGCAAACTGGGTTGAATTATCTCGTTGCAATAAGTAGGTCTCATACTCGATTCGATCAACTCGCAGGAATAAAATAACAATTAAATTGTGTCATGAGTTTTTCTGAGAGGTGTTCATTCTAGTTTCTTTTATTGCATGTCATGGGTTTATTTTGGCAAAAGTTATAGAGAAATAAGGAGTTTACATTATTGAAAAAAATAAAGTTTTGTTAGTGTTGTTACACAATGGTGTTCGAGTTCATCAAATATCAGGTTGTCCTAGGTGATCGGAGGAAACGTTTTACGTATTTCGACTTACAGTGTGGGATTGTTTGGAGTAAACATTGAATGGGAGTTATTTTCTACCTTCGAGAGTTTTTTGTAATGTTGCGTTTTTAACCAGTGGGTTTACCAATAAATGATCAATAATCAAACTCAACTTTATTGCACTTCAGATACAACCAAACACTTCAACTAAAACTTCAACTATTATTCAAATATCTATAGCCTTATTAAATCGCTCCGCGTACTGCACTGTCACTTCCACTTGACTGTCTCGACAGGCGAGTAGATCGTGTTTATATTTGTCAATCGAAGGATGTAAAACATTCCTCGGAATTCCATCGAAGCCGGTGGAATATTCGCAGGGATTCCATCGAAGCTGGCGCGAAGACAAGAATAATAGACTGCGCGCGGCCTTAACCACGTTACAGTTGGTTTTTAGTGTCCGACCGAAACTGGTTTTTACGACCGAAAACGAATTTCGGCAACGAAATTTCGGTTTCGACCGAAACCTTACAAGGATTATATTTTGAGGAAAAAATAAAGAAAACGTTATTATAATCAGTCAGTGTTTATTTTTTTATCTTTAAATCACAGAGTTATGCAGTCTTCGACTTACTCAAGTTGTTACCTAATACCACAATAGGTACTTCTTAATATTTATGTGATGAACAAAGTAAGTCACGGCATAATTAAGCACGTGGACGCGGCAAAATGTCTTCGCCGCTTGTATGAAATTCAACGCGTCGAAGATGACCGATCACAGCGCGAGAACTCTCGAATGCAGTTTCGGCAGGTTTGCCACAGAAACCAGCTTTTTTGCCGAAACTTGACCGAAACCGAACTTTTGGTCGGACACTACTTGGTTTATGGCTACCAGTGGCGGCCGGCGTTATTTTCTTTAGGGCATGATTTACAACAGTATGAAGATGAAGCAGTAGATATCCAAACCCTTTCTTTCCCAGAAACTAATCTCTCCTATAAATATATCCCTTTAATCTTGCTAGCTGATTCTTCAATAAAAGGTTTTTCCTAAAACACTTTTTTCCTGTCTAGGTACCTATTTTGAAACATGTTCTTGATGACCAAAAGTTTGTTTTCGTTCTGTGAAAAATATATTGCTGTGAAGCTACTGTGCCAGGTCATTTATGTATACTGATACGAAAATTAGAGTAGAGTAAAGTACTTTATTTAACCATTTTACATACTATGGTATATTTATGTCAAGTCACAAATACAGAGATGCTTATTCGGAGTTATATCTACTAAAAAAAATAAAAGTGAAAGAGTGTAGGTCAATTAAAAGTATAATTATAAAATCAATAAACTAAGGACTTAATGAGGTCTTTCACAAGTTATAGAAAAAACTAAAGAAGTCATCTCCAAATGAACCTTACTATGTTAGCAAAACATGTGTCGAGAAACAGTATTTTTTTTTCAGGTGTGGGACAAGTGTCTTCAATAGATCTGACGTTGCTTTGATCATTTTGAATAATATCCATTTGCTATGACTTGTAATATTCTCATTGCTAACAATACATCATTAGGCAGATATTTCCCCGACCTTTATCTGTCTGGTCTTTGCAAATTCTCCACTAAGAATCTTTAAATGGGTTCTGTTTGCAAGTCTTGCGATGCACCATCATGTATCTCTTTCGCGCGTAACGCTTCAGACAAAACTCGCACTGAAACTGCTTTTCACCTGTGTGTGTCTTCTTGTGTCCCCACAGATGACTCGAATCGGAAAAACTCCTCCCGCAGACATCACATGAAAATGGTTTTTCACCAGTATGCGTACGTTCATGGGCTTTCAGCCGGTGGTTCATGGAAAAAACCCGCGAGCAGAACTGGCATTTCTTCGCAGGGGCGTGGTTTTTCATATGCCTGTTCAGATTGAACTGGTAGAAGAAACTTTTCGAACACTTCGAGCAGTGGAAAGACTTTTCTCCGTCATGGGTCTCTGCGTGTCGCCTCAAAGACTGCTTCGTGGTGAAATAGTGTGAGCAAACCGAGCACTGGTGCCGCCTCTGCCCAGTGTGCGAAATCAGATGCGCGCGAAGGTTACATCCCTGCGAGAACCTTTTCAGACACACCTTGCACTGAAACTGCTTGTTTGCAGAATGGATCCTCTCGTGAGTCTGCAAATTCTTTTTGCCAGAAAAGTTCTTGGAACAAACCTTGCAGCGAAACGGTTTCTCTCTGTGTGTTATCAAGTGCTTCTCGAGACTCAACTTTGATAGGAAGCTAAATGAGCAAACTGCGCATCGGAATAGGTTTCCTATGTGGCTAGACCTGTGCTGCCTCAAAGCTCGGAAATTTGGGAAACATTCCAAACATACTTCGCAGAGGAAAGACGAGTTATCGGCGCTGTGAGTGCGCTGATGGAACTGCATCCTTTGAGTCGTCGTGAAAGGTTTGGAACATACCGGGCAAGATATAAGTTTAGTAGCCTTGTGGTACCTTCCCAGCTTAGCTGGACATTTCTTTGAGTAAAATGAATGATTTTGTATATTTTTTTCGGTTACTTCTGGCTTCAGCACATGTTTGCATCTAGCTAAATGCTTCTTCAGAGCCGCCTTGGTGGAGAACACTTTACTGCATGTTCTGCACCTCAGTAATGGTTTCTTGACATAGTGATGAATGCAGTGGATCAAGTATTCATGTTTTTTAGTAAATGATTTCCCGCAACCGAAGCAAACAATATATTTATCAAAATGCGAATTGAAGTGACTTTTTTTCAATGCTGGTGTTGCTAGATCTGCAAAAAAAAAATACAATCAAGATATGTTGAGTGATGAATTTACAGTTACAGGGCATTCTAGGACGACAGGGTGATTGGTATCTCGGAGCTTCATTACAGTCTCTGAGTAAACTCAGTCATACATCCCATTGGCCCAGACACACACACACACACCCTTCAGGATGAGGCATCATCTAGGAGGTTTCTTACCTTTATAGGCGACACCTCACCCAACAGGGTTATTCTAACGCCCCCCCGTTGCAAGACGGCAATGATTTCATCCACCTCCATAATATACTTCCATAAAGCCAATCATGTTATGTACTACTATTCTTGGTTTCATGTAATAATTATATATCGTATATCACAGTGAGGTCCATCAGACTCGAAACTTATGCGAGCTAAGAATTAATGAGGTTTATAATGTGTGAATCTTGGATATATTTTATGAACAGTGCCTTCATCAATTTTTATTTCTTGTAAACTTTCTGAGTGAACATTTTTACTTTCATTTGTTCAATGTATTCTATGTAATGTTGTTTTTGTTATTATATGATTTGAAAGAACCAATAAAAGTTTAAATTATTTGATATAATATTAATTACTTATGTGAGTTATAATGTTCATTCAATGTACTCTTCAAAGAGACATGGCAAATATATTTTTGATATTGGTTGCCTTCACGCTGAGTATATTAGATTATAAACAAGTGTTGATTTCATTGAATTTAAATTTGCTTCAATTAAAATGTGCTAAATAATGGCGAATGTGATGATAAAATGCTTAATAGTGAAAGTAACAGTACGAAGCGGCTGCTGTCTCTAACCAGTAGTTGAAAATAGATGTGTAGATGGTGTTTTGTGTACTGAGGAAATACTGCCAACACTAACAGAAAAAAATTTTCCCGTGAATCACAAAAAAACTTCGAGTTTATAATTTATTAACCATCACCTTCTTACTAGATTTGATACCTTGCTGACTACATTAGAAAAACAGATACTGTGATGGAGTAATATAGGGCTTGAATTATTTCACAATCCTTCTCTTTGCTTTCTATTTGGGTGTCATTTAGAAGGGGGAAACTGAGGGTCATAAATATTCCATTTATAAAGAACAGTCAACGAGTCTAAGGACATTACACATAAATACAAATACCATACAACAAAACCCTATTCATAATCCTACACATATGTCAATTAATATACTCAACCAATACTTGAAATTCATATTGAACTCATTACAACCACACAACAAAAATTCACAATGGTGTTTCAATTTTTAAAAATGTTGTCTAAATGCTAAAAGAAGATTGCTGGACAGAAAGTTTATTCTTCAGATTATTAAGAGCATAAGAGAAGTAATAGTAAAATTTAAAACAATACTAGATTCAGTATTACCATATCTACTTTTTTGAGAACCATTTGTTATTTAGTAAATATACTTAATATTTCAATAATAAAGCTACAAAATAATGCAATCTTATCGAAATTGACAACTCTACTAGAATGGTAGATTTATTTGACAATCTTTTAAATAATACAGCACAGACTTCTCTATTTGCAGAGAAATGTCTGGTAAAAAACATCTCAGATACTTGCAGTGAAAGTTTTTCTCACCTCTAAAACAAACTTCACATTTGTACACCTTGAGATTTTTCTTCTTCGGAGATTGCAGGAAAGGATTCTTGGGTCTTGAATCCTGATTATTTTCTGATTCAACTTCTGATTTGACTTCTACATCATGATACTCAACCTCTAATTTACTTATATCTATTTTATAATCAATTTCTTCATAGCCTAGTGTATCTTCTTCCGTCTTAACTATCAACTCACAAGTGTTTTTATTGACTGATAGTTCATCTTCCTCACAAGGAAAATATTCTTGTTTTATAATTTCATGTTCAGTATTAGTATTATGCTTCATGCTATGATCAAGCAGTATCTGATCCAGAAGAGAATCAACATATTTTGCAGAGTCAATAAATTTTGAAATTTCTTAGAGTTTTAAGACACAGGAACTGCACACGTTTTTGGGAAACGAGTCAAACTTATCAACCTGAAATGAAACAGGGAAGGCTTTGTCACTTATCCAATGAAAAAATAGTTTCAATACTGTACAAGAATATTTGTAATAGTTTTGAACAACTCTACCAAGTGTTCAAAACAAGTGAATAATTTCAGTCCTCTTTTCGAACTACATATTTATGTAAAATCTAGAATAGTCAAATTCATTTCCATTCGATACAAAATTTTTCAAATTATGAAAACGTTAAAAATTATCAAACCAGTAAATAGTTTATAATTTAGCTAATGATTGAACGGTTCTTACAAAAGTTGTGCAGGACAGAAAACAATAATTATTAAAAATAATTTATCTAGCTTCTTCCATAGTAAATAATAACCTATAAATCATATTCCAGTTTCTGTCTCTTTCGCATTTGGCCAGACTCCTTCTGGCCATATTGAATAGAAGCTTCTGGGACCTGGGAGCGCAGCTGTGTTGCATGAGATAATGCTGCCAACCTAAGTGTTTCAATTCACTATTTCTCAGAAGAAAAAACGCTCCAATTATTTTTTGTTTGCCTTCTTTTCGGAAGGCCTTTGGATACGAATAACACATCTATTATCGAACTGTCGACATCCAGCCTGATTACTGGCGTAGGGGGCCGCCAGTCCTCTCATACGTCATCATTCAACATTTATTCAAACTTAACTTTACCTCTCTTTTGGACTCCAACCACAACATCCAAGTGCATTTTTTGGAGGTGGTCGTTATCAGCACCATCTTTTTGTCGCGATCGGAGAGGAAGTCCCATTTCCATTCATATTACTCAATACTCCCATTCCAAATCTAACGTCATTACAGTGTTTCTCATCTCTTATAGAGAATGTGTATTAACTTCAACTGTCAACGTCATCAGTCTGCCAACCATAGACGTATTAGGGTGTACTGGCCGTTATATGACTTTCTCATTGCAACTAGTGATCATTATATTAAATAGAGAAAAATTATGGAGGATAAATTCCGTTGTTGACAAAGTGGAAATATTATTATTTCAAGCTCCAATTTTGGAATAATTTTCATAACAATGTAAAAAGATATCACGGTGAAGACACCAATTTTAAAGATACAATTATATTTTATGTAGGATTAATAATCAGTAAGAGGTATCAATATCATGAGAATAAATTTGGAAAGTTTTCTCAGATAAATTTCGAATTTACCAAGGTTCCAAACTGCCTCTTTTGAATGACAAAAATATCATATTGAATGCATCTGTTTCGTAAACGAACTCTACTAAAAAAAAATTAGTAGTGACTACCACAACAGACTGGTGAACAAATGGACCTTTGCACTGATATTGGGATACTTGCTTAGGTGAAAACTTTATTCTCAATTTTTTGTCAGTAGTATTTTTGAAATCGAATAAAAACAATGGTAGTAACATGAGTAATATTTGATATGATCTCGGCAACACCGTAAAACTTATTCATATTGCCTGATTTAATTTTCAATTAGAAATGTTATTATTCTTTTGTAAAAGCATTCTCTAAATATTTCATGTCTGTAGTAAGATTTGTGCAGCAATATATTTTTAACTTTCCTACTGAACATAGTTTCATAATTCTACCTCTTCATAGAAAGTGTGCCAACTTGTTTTTGAAGTCGATTTGATGGTAACTAAAATTATAAAAAGCATTTCATTTTACGAAGCAACGACTTTATGTATAAAATTCTGTTGAAGATACATTCGATTGAGTAGTACTAATTGAATAATCATGTAATATATTCGTTCATCTGTTTTTGTCTGCTTCACAAAAATTATTTGCATTTTGGAATGTGGTTTGGAATACTTGGTAAGTCTGACAGATATTTTTGAAACTCCGATTTTCCTTCGAAATTGAAAAACTTGGGTGTTATCTCTTGACGAATGAACCTTCACATATATGATATGGATTTCATCAACTTTTATTTCGGAAATGTTATTGGATTAGAAATGTTTGTTTGAAGGTGGTTGACAATGTTTCGTGGTGCATGTCATCAGTTCGGACTTCCATTGTCTAATATGATATAAATTGATTCGAAATCCCTGGAAGAATCTGTAAAAAATTCAAAAAATTAGCTGAAAATTAATTCACTTTTTATTGTTACAACATTGTTATCCTTTACAGTTGCCAATTTTAGTTTTGCTCCAGGAACATTTTCTTCTGGTAAAAACATTCTTTTTTAATTGTACTCTACCATATGTTTATATGAGGATTAGGCAATGTTTGTCCCTACCGAACTACTAGCGCTGCAAGTGAGTGATTTTTCGTACTTCAGGAAAAAGGTCCATTGAAACGTCGTGAAGTAACTTGGTTTGGAATCTCAGTTCCATATTTTAAATTTTTATTTCTTGTTAATAATTTTTTAATTTTTCAGCTAATGTTATATTTAAATTTTTTTTTTGGTTTTTGCTTGTATGTTATTTCATTGTAATTTCAGTCTTTTGCTTGATAAAATTGTTTTTTCAACTGATCTTTTTAATTTTTTACAGATTCTTTCAGGGATTTCAAATCAATTTATATCATATTAGAAAATGGAAGACCGAACTGATGAAATAAATCAGAAATGTTATTATTTTTCTGTAAATAGATCCTCTAAATATCCCTTATGGTTGTAGTAACATTAACGCAGAATTAGGTTATTAACTTTCTTGCTGAACATAGTTTCATAATTTGACCTCTTCGTAGAAAGTGGCAGCCTGTTATACAAATTGATCGCATTATGAAATGTAGATTTTTTGAAATGGTCACTTTTATGCGAAGGACCTCACACATAGGTCCCATACAGAAAAAGAAAGCAACTCTGGTTTCCTCCTTTAGAAATAAGGCAGAAGAAATTTGTGACAAGTATACGTAACACAACACGTAAAATTTCAAGGTTCACATTGTAACTATACAGTCTTGATTATCGATCCCGCGTAATTTGTAGTTCTGTGTTCCGTGCTCGCGCCTTTCTTTTCAATCGTTTGTACGCGTAGCACGACTCCATTTTATCGTTGACGCAAAAAAAGTTGTATGTGTGTTTATTAACGTTTGTTAATGTTTTAAAAAAATGAGTGACTATTCCTCGGTCGCTCCGCCACCATCTCAAAATTTCAATCAGTCTTCAGCATTTGCTGCAGCTTTACAACGCGCGAAACAGGTGAGTAGTAATACCCCAATCACGCTTCCATTTCTGTGTGTGAGTTCCTATGAATATCAGAATATATGGAAGTCAGAAACCCCATGATTTCCATAGAATGGAGAAGTATTTTCAGGCATATACCTAACTGATATTTTGGCTTGAGATTGTAAAAACTTAAGGTGCAAAGCCTTTTGAATATTAACAGAAAAGCCAGTTACAGGCCAGTACTTGAAATATTTATTTCGGTATTTAGGTTCCTTTCAAAATAGTAGTTAGTATATCAATTTGTGTATAGGTTATTCATAGTCACAAAAAAAGCGAAAAAATAATCTACTTGAAAAAAGATGCAGTTTCAAAATTCTGGTGGCTAGGTAATCAGAAAAAAAAGTAAAAGAAATATAAAGAAAGAGAAATGTGAAAACATTGTTTTTTTTTAAACCACTCACTACTGTCGATATTAATACAATCCAAAGAAGTAACATTGAAATTGATTACAACTGGATATATAATGGTAGCATAACGATATGAATTTTCAACATGAATTTGTGTTACTGAATTTCTTCAACTATTGTTTTGGATATTTGCAGTTTCTCCTTTTACCAAGTTATTAATACTCTGACCCCTTAATGAAAATTACATAACAACAATAATAACAAAAACCATAACGATGATTATAGAATTTTCACTATAAATTTTATTTAAAACATATTTCGCTACACAGTAGCTTCATCAGTTACTGGTAAGTAGAATAGTTTGATGTACCAATAACTGATAAAGCTACCATGTAGCAAAACACTTTTAAAATAAAATTTATTGTAGAAATTCTAAAATTATTATCATGGATATTTTAATTAAGTTAATGAACCTTTTTCCTGAAGTACGAAAAATCACTCACTAGCAGCGCTAGTAGTTCGGTNTTGGAGGACAGATTTTCGTCAAATGAAGAGGCAATCACCTTCATGAACAATTTTTTTGCAGAGAAAATCAGCCCGTACTTTAGTAAAACATTTTATAACAATTTTTAATAATAATAATAATATTCTTTATTGCCATAAAATCAACTGGGGACATAGCATTTCAGAGGTTACAAAACAATGCATTAAAAAAATGTATGTACAGTGACAAAGGTTACAGCACAATTCATCGAGTAAATCAAAGTATACTAAATGACAGGTTGAGAGACCAGGCTACAATACTAGTTCGCATAAGGACATCTAATAAGAATTATTGTAATTTGAAAGTTTATGAGACAACTACATCAACACACACATAATCTGTATGTGTCCTGATTCCATAAGAATTTGCCATTCATTTTATATTTAAAACCCATACATTTCAAACACATGTACATAGATTGCTATATTTACAATTGCAATTCCTGTCCCAACTTTTTCTGCCATCAACTGTGATCGTGAGGTAACTTCTTGATCTGAATAAATACAGCCAGGTTTGTTTTCTATGACTCAGATACTGCAAGACCCTTTGGTTTTATGCTCTTTGATTTCTATTCCAGTTGCTATTTGTCATTATATCCAAAACGGAGCAGTGTGAAACTCGAAAATTAAGGTTATTTTTTGTTGAAAAACTTGTCAAAATTATGAATACTGTCAATATTATTCTTGACATTTTTTTATAAGTATTTTGATGAAACTACTGATTTGGGCTGGAGACAAAAAACATTAGTAATAAGGCATATTTTCTTTAACTCACAACCGGTGTAATTTGTGGTTTCAGATCGCAGCCAAAATTAACCCAGGTACAACTAACCCAGCAGATAATAGAGCGAAGAGACCCCTGGAAGACAGTCCAGGTAAGATTGGTTATTTGGTATATTTTTTTATTAAATTAATGAGTAGATTTCAATATAGAACCGGATGCGAAGAAAGGTCCCGGTGCGCTGGGACCTCCACCTAATCAAGGACCTCCACCTCTTGGTCGGCCTCAGCAGAACCAAGGAATGGGAGGCCCCGTCATGGGTGGTATTTCCCAAATGAACGAAGACATGAAAGTGCCAGACAAGATGGTTGGATTGAGTGAGTATAGTTGTTCTATAAATTTTTTTATTGCATTTTTTAGTGCTTTTCCCAATAGTCTTACCTATTTTCGGAGATACAGCCGTTCTTATAATGACATCTTTTCACAATCACATTCTACAGACCCACAGATTGAAAAACTTCTATATCATCAAAATCATATTCTAAATGATATTGCTACTTTTCTAGTTTTTCTTATCATTTGTTGGTGATGTTATGATGGCCAATGTCAACAAGTGAAAATTGTGTTGTCTAATTAAAAAAAAAAACTCAACATTTTTTTTAAGCTTTATATCTCATTCAATAACAAGTAAATGGTATTTTACCAAGTCAGCAACACAAGACAAACTACACATATTGAATCAATTGTTTGGAAAGCACCTTCTGAATGCTGTATTTATCATTTTGATAGCCATTGTATAGACCTTTGTAAAATTGTCATCCAGTTTCATTAAAAAATTTATATTTTGTTGGAAAATATATAATTTTGTGGAAATCGGCTATTCTTCATGTAAAAAAATGGAAATGGAAAGTGAATAGTATATCGCACAGCATGCGATGGTGAAAAGGTGTTATTTTACGAGTTTTTTTATTGAATGGTTGATGTTTTAGTGGCATTATCTCCGAAAATAGACTGAAGTGCTAAGTTTTGACTTCAGATTCAGGATAAGTGAATAGGTACAATTACAATACATTAGCCTAATTCAACTAATGCAAGCTGTTGATGAATATTCAACAAGTTAGTTGGAGGTATCATTTTTTATCAAGTTGATAAGCTTGTGGTTTCAAAACATTGAACTTTTTTAATCAAGAACCACCACATGTGATAATAATGAGTTCATTCGTGACAAATAGATACAAAGTTATGAAAATAATATAGAATATAATCCAATGACAATTAAACAAGGAAAAATATATTAATCCGCACATGGTGAATATTTCATGTTGTTTACATAAAATGTTTTCAGTTTTTCAGATAATATAACATGAAACAGTAAATTCATTTCGATACTTTAGAGCTAGAGATAACAAGAAAAACATATTACATAATTAGTTTTGTTTTAATTTATACTAGACTACAACATATAAATATAACATTTTGTAACATGTTCAAGGAAATAGTTCCTGTATTTCCTTTATTTTTTCTAAACTCTACAGTTTACACCTAAAGCGTTTGCTGTTTTAGATACTATAACTTTGATTCCTTGTTCAGGGTCAAATGTATTTCCAAAATACTCAAATTGTTTAATTTTCCAACTAAAATTATTGTTATCTCAATTTGAATTATTTATAAGTTATTATAAAGGTAAGTTGGATGACAAGTAAATACTTGTGATGTACTGTTTGGAACTTTTGGTGTAGTAATGAATATTACTGAAGTTCTATTCCAACACTGGGAAAGATGTTTGTTGAAAAATATCGACGCAGATACGTTTATATTTTAAATTTGGTGTGTTTGTTGTGTTATTCATTTTTCTGTGCCAGTAAAAAAGCAACTTAAGTAGTAACGCATAATAATATAGCAGCTTGATACTTTTACTGTTTCACTAACACAGAAAAATGATCAGCATAGTATCCTTAAAATTTTTTAGTATTAAAAAGGTACACTTCGATGTCAGAGTTCAGAAAGCATCACAAAACTGGACAAATTTTGTCATTTGTTTCTCCTTACGTTGAGTTGTTTGACAATATTTCTATAGATGAGGTCATAGTGCCACCATATTGAACTTGAAGAAAATGGCTTCTACTCCTCCATTTTAAATGGAAATGGCCAGATGTGTTATATCGTTGAAAAGAAAATTTTATATTCGATCTATTGGTCGAAAAAAATACATTGGGTTTCATTTTCAGTGAACGCTGTGTAGATTTTTAAGTGTTTAATCATTAGAAGTACCTCTTAAAACATTTAATGGCGCCGTGTATAATGATTTCGTTATCACCCGGTATATGTTATATATCGCCAAATAGACAAGAAAATTGAAAATTTCTGATTCAATAAACATTGAAGTAATCAGATAGGAACTTGAAGAATTGACTTTGATTTTCAACATGGATTGAGGGCAAAATATTTCAAATGGGGAATGTTCCTCAATTTGGGTTATTACAGTAAATGCAAGTTTGAACAAAATAAAGTTGAGTTCAATTCATGAGTTTTTCAAATTCACTTCGAAAAGTATTCAGATTGATGTTTCAAATGTTGGGTTTTAATTTTTAAAGGGATTTGTTTCTAATTCACATATTGGCAACAGCGCCTAGAATGCTAGATCGGAGTTCAGGTTAGTAGTTTGCTAGAAGAAGAAGAATTATGTCAATAGTGTCAAATTAAGGAAAAATATAAATTATAGTTCAATACCACCTCTACAAGCCACATAAACAACAGTTGTTTTGTTATTTATTTACATAGAGGAAGATAGGTGAGGTGCATAAAATGTCATATGTCACAGAATGTGTCGGTACATAAATAAACAGAACAGCACACCTCTGCAATATGTCATCTTTGTTTGTCTCATACAGGTAACAGATTCATTGTCCTTTAATAGCTATAACCGATGTTCCCAAATGGTGAAATAGAAACGAATCCCTTTAAATGTTGAATGCATTATTTCATTCCTCTTTTTTAAGTATTAACATAATTTTTTAAAGAAAATGGTTGAAATGATAAGTTTAAAATGCGTTGTTTTAGAGCTCTTTTATGAAAACTACTTGATTTTTGTCAGGAGGTACATTCCCCATTGTCCGTTGGATAAACAGCGGCGGAAAGTTAACTTTTTGTCTTCTACTTTGGAGTCGTCTGACTTGTCCATGTCTTCCAAGTCCCCGGAAAATACTGCAGCATCAAGGGCTCATGGTGTTTTTCACCAATTTTTTTTCACGTCATTAGATTAGATTAGATTGTTAGGGAGCTAGCCGGTGGCCTGATTCACTGCGACGTTTTCAGGTATATTGTGACGCTCCTTGGTTGTTAGAGCTCATTGTCTAGCTTGATCTCTTTGATGAGATTCTATAGTCTTGACACTGACCCCTTCATATAGGTAGCAGCCTCTGGTTTTTCTTCATCGCATCTTGCATGTCTCTGCCTTGATGTCGTTTTACATTCATAGAGCACATGCAGTGCAGTTTCTTCCTCGTCTTGACAGAACCTGTATTGGGATTCTTCTGCCGGACCCATGTTGCTCATATGATTTCTTGAGTCGGCTATGCCCCGTTAGTAGACCAACCACTACCACAACCTTACGGTTGTGGTTTAGCAGGTCTTCTGTGAATCTGGGCGATCGTTTCTTTATGAACTCTTTCGCCTGCCTCATTCCTGGAAGCTTATTCCAGCTCGCACAAGTTTCGACTTCTGAGGGATGTCATTCGTAGGGGTGCGACAGTCGGTTAACGGAAAAACAGTTTTTAAACAGTAAATTGATGGATGTAGCCGTTATTTGGTGGTAGGAAATCATAATGAAGAAAAGAGAAATGAAACGTTCTATGTTTTTTACCACTTTTATTTGTAACTAACGTTACTGCAGTTCCGTCCTATACGGACATTTTCAAACTTGACAATAAAACAAGTTTTATTGTATAAGTTTGAAAATGTCCATATAAATAATAAAACAATTTTTATTGTATAAGTTTGAAAATGTCCTAATAGGATGAAACTGCAGTAATGTTAGTTACAAATATAAGTGGTAAAAAACATAGAAAGTTTCATTTCCTTTCTTCGTTTTTAAACAGATTTTTTTCCTGCTTGTTTTATTTCCCCTATACAGTGTTCGATGTTTTCATGACATATATTCCAACAATTTTATTACTTGTCCTAACTAAGGATCTAAAAGTTATAGAACTTAGCCACTCTTCCAGTGTGCTTATTAAAGCTGCCAATCTTAATATAAGACAACTAGCTTAACTTGAGGCGAATTTCCCTAGTTCGGACTTCCATTGTCTAATATATAAAATGATTCGAAATCTCTGAAACAACTAAAAAAGAAGAATTTTTCCATTTCAAATTTCCCTATAAAGTTCAATTTTTTCGACAGTGAACTATTAATTTTTTGTATTTGCAGTAATTGGTCGCGGAGGGGAACAGATAACAAGGCTACAATCAGAGACAGGCTGCAAGATACAAATGGCGCCTGACTCTCAGGGTATGTCAGACCGAATATGTTCGTTGTCGGGTACTAAAGAGGCTGTCGAAAGAGCCAAAGAACTTATCATGAACATTATTCGTCAAAGGGGCAACAATGAAGAGGACCCTGGCAACGATATGCACGTGCCGGGTATGGGTCCTCCGGGCAATCAAGGCGACAACTCATTCAACAATCATTTTTCAGGTTAATATGAACCATTTTCTTTGCATGGAGCATGCCATCATTCAGTTGCAACGATGGAATTTTGCTGTCATGCAGACGCTCATTTGGACTGGTTTTTCATAATGCATTGTAGAATGCACTTCATTTTTCCAAACGGTTTGATTTTTTTACCATCATTGAAAAAAAATCATTGTTTTGATTGATTTCTGTTTCAAAGTGGAACATTACAAAATTGTCCAAAAAAATGTAATGTTTTTTTGCAAGGAGAATTACAGTTTGCCAAATGATTTTGTTTACTGTTCAGACACCTTGCTATATTATAGGCTTATACATTTCAAAGAGGCATTCAGTTTATTTCATACTGTCAGCTTTTTGTTGTTAAAGCCACAATCATGTTGAATTTCTCAACAAAGATTCAGTTTTCGATAGTTCCATTTCCTTAACCTAGATCTACTTTCTGAAAAACTGTTTTGGATAAATGAAGTTCATTTCTCAATAATGTTAACTTCAATCTAATCAATTTTTTTTTCACAATCTAATCTATTATTTTTTTCACAATCGAATCTTATAATTTTTTTTTGCCAAAACTCAAATGAGTGTCATTTCCATACAGCCTTCCAGTGTGTTGCGTATTAAAGCCGCTAATCTTTATATAAAACAACTAGCTTAACTTAATTTTCTAATGCAAAGTAAGATTAGTCAGTGATAATTTTGAAATGGAATATCAAACAAATATTGGATAATGCTTTGGATGACTATTTCACTTCATTTTGTTATCTAAATAATCATTAGTTTACAGAAGATTCATCAAAGGATTTTTTGGGGGCCTCTAAGCCCCATTAATGTTTTGCAGTCTTATCGAGGTTATTGTACTTTGTTGTCTGTTCCTTGTCCCTTGGTTGATTTTTACAACATGATTTGTAATTCTATTTGCCCTGTGAAAAAAATACTCAATATGGTTACGGATTTTATAACATTAGGGGAATGGGGATTTTAATCTTATGATAAAATAAGGGCTTCGATATTTTTTGAAAATGTGGATGTGTGATGTCTATCTTTTTTTTCATCCTTGAAAGTGAGAATAATTTTGAGAAATTATTTTCTGTGATTATTGAAACTTGACTTACTGTAGTACACAACATTCTTGATTCCATTTCAGAATTATGCTTCAATTGTAATTGTTAGGAATTGGGGTGATTTAATTGATATTTATCTCTTGCCTGTTGGGGTAAGGTGTAGTTATAGACATTAATTAGTTCATTTAAAAAGAGGTGAAAGGTAATAGCTAACATAATTTAGTTTAGTGGAGCTTCCTTATCATTGAAATAACAACAAAAAAATGTAACTTGTTCCCACAAGTAATTTAGAAGTTTATTTAGAGTTCGCATAGAAGGTGCTTCAACTTTTTTCATCAAAATTTGAATGAGTTGAGGTGATTTTGACATTTGACATAGCATTACATAGTGGCGAACAGGTGAATATATTTACAATTTTCATTTTGTTGATTATTCCAAAATTTTTTACCATCTTGTAATTCTCTCCTATTACAGGGTTAATAAGGAGGTACATTCTCAATTGATGGTATTTGGCATTTCTCAATAATTCTGAAGTGTTAGTGTGTTATAGTCCTAAACTTGTTAAGCCAAAGAAAATTTATTGCTAAGTTCTTTTATAGGAATGAGAGCTTTTACGGCTGGCGTCAATGTTTTGGTTGGTTTCTAGGTTTTGCCGTGGTCTTCTTTTGTTACAATCTCCTAACATTTCAACTGCAACTGTCCTCTTCAGTGGCAAAGAAGACGACGGCAAAATCTGGAAACCAAAAAAAACAACAACTACGCTACATGCTTTGTTTAGCTTATCCCAATCCGAATTCTTGCCTACACAAAAATTTTTTTTATGTTAGAGATTTAGGCTTGTTTATGTTTCATATTTGTAGATAGTCTTCTGGGTCGTTCCCATAGATGGCGTCTTAAGGAGAGATAGTATCGCGATTACTTATAACTCATTGTTCTGATGATCCTTAATCATACTAAATTTTATTTGTGTTGTTTGAAAGATTTTTTCTAAATCTAAAAAGATACATGCAGAAAGTCAAAAATATAGGTTTTTACATGCTGGAGATGCACAAAAGACAAATAGGTATATTTAAAACGCTTTAAAAAGTTGGTTTTCAAGAAATGTTTATTTTTTATTTTTCAGTTAATATGAAAATTACTCCTAAAAATATTTTTTTTCATATTATATTGGTTTTTCCTTTTCAAAAAGTTATGTATTTGACTTTGAAAATTATTAGTTGTTGATGTTCTTTCACGGAACATTCAGTAATTTTATATACTTTGCTGTAACATCCGAATCTCTGTTTGTTATTCAAGGAGGCATGAACAACATGAACCCCAACATGGGAGGACCTGGCGGCGGACCAGGTGGTCCTGGGGGCGGCAGGAACACCCTGGAAATCATGATCCCCGGTCCCAAGGTCGGCCTAATCATCGGCAAGGGTGGTGAGACGATAAAACAGTTGCAAGAAAAAAGTGGTGCCAAAATGGTCGTCATACAAGACGGACCAAATCAAGAGCACGAGAAGCCGTTGTTGATCAGTGGAGATCCCCAGAAAGTGGAGTTTGCTAAGCAGCTCGTGTACGATCTGATTGCGGAAAAAGAAATGAAGAATTTCAATAGGGGTGGAAGAGGAAGAGATGGCGGTCCAGGAGGCAGGCCACAGAACGATTTCGGTGATTTTGGTGGAGGCGGCGACTCTATGGAGGTTAGTGATTGTTTTGACAATTATAAAATTCCTAATTATAGTTTTGTTGGGAGGTTTTCACAAAATCTTTTTATCAAATTGGTAGATGTTTTACTAGTGACATGACTTTACTGTGTATCTGAGTGGTCTTATAACTAAGATTTATATTATTCAAGTGATAATTTCCCTTATAAGTACATTAATCACAAATACATGAATCACTGCTTAGAACAAATTATGCTTAATTGTTTGCTAAATATAGTTAACAAAATTCCATATGAAGAGTTCTCCTCTCCATAGGGTCTAGCATCAAGAGCATGTCTACCCAATTACATTGAAAATAAATAGGATTCAAGGATAAAATAAAAATTTTAAAATCTTGTTCTGAATGAGTGTATTTTTTTTTAATTTGACTGTTTTTGTTCTTGTTTCATCCTCAAGTATGGAAACCTATTTTTCAAACAAATGTTTGTTTTCTGAGATAAATTCAATTCCTAATTTATGACTGTTGCTGCTCCATAATAATTGGTTTACAGCTTTCTTGGATGAGAAAATATCTATTTTTCAAACATTTTTTGCATAAGAAAACTTCATTTTGTCTGTTTAATTTGCTCAGACTGTTATATGTTGGTGTTTAGTTGCAACATATCCGCAGTTAAAGCTATTTGTTTCACCAAATTTTGCCTTGTATTTCAATACATAACAATATATTCCATGATTCTATACTATAATACAATTTCATAATAGTAGGCACTAAATTCTCAGAAATGACTGACGTTTTTGCCTCAATCTGTCTCTTGCAGTGACATACGGATATTATAGTAAACAACCTGACAACAATGTTTCCGTTTAAATGCAATAATCTTTCTGAGAATTTAGTGCCTACTATTATGGAATTGTACTATAGCAGATTGATATAAGGTTTAGGATCATATCCGGTTTCATTCAAGTTGTAACCTAAGAAATAAAGCCTTTCAAGATTAATTTTCCACTCTATAAATGTCTAAACTGATCTCCAGTATTTTTCCACTTTACATCATTTTCATTTATTTGATGATCTTGTCTATTGAAGTTTATGTTTTTCATAGTATTTGTATTTTATTCAAAGTCATTAGGTGGTTATTTTCTAAAAACCAACTTGTCAATACTTTTTGTCAAGTGTTAGATTGTCTTCTGTGTTTTTAATACTGATGACAAAAGTATTTGTATAATGGACTATATTACCCTAAATCATTTTAGTAAAAGATAATATATAACCAGAGATTTAAATTGATCATTAAGAACACCTCGTTTTATGATTCATTCAATGATTTTATCACACTTCACTCAACAATTTATTGAATTAATAACAAAAAATTATGACCTTTTCGTATAACTCATAATTTTTCCACATTCATACAATTTTTAGAGATATTAAGAACATATTGACATATTCTTTGAAAGATACTTTTACTCTCATTCTTTTCAAGTCAATTAACGGGAACAGATCCCTATGTAATATCTCTATACAGCAAATAGGAAATTAAATGTCCTGGATAATGTCAACAAATTTGAAATTGATGTAAAATCTCTCTCCTCATTGAGGTAGAACCATATACTGTCCAAACTATCCTTATCAGATATAGTGAAACTACAAACATAACCTATTTTATTTTTTGTTTTTCGCCACTGTTTTTTGTAAAACTCTGAATTATTATTTTTTATCGGCAAGGAGAATTACAGTTTGTCAAATTGATTTGCTACACTGTTCAGACACCTTGCTATAATATTTGCATAACCAACTGCTTTTTATTTTTTGTTCTTGAATAATGACCAAATTCAGTTTGGTATGCAACAAGTCTAAAAAAAGTCATTTCTATATTTTTGAGTAAAACTCGTCTATATTAAACCAGCTTTCATTGGTTTCCCTTACAAAAGAATCATTTAATATTTCAGGTTCACGTTCCTAGACCGGCAGTGGGAGTTGTCATTGGAAAGGGTGGGGAAATGATAAAAAAGATTCAAGCAGAAACTGGTGCTAAAGTTCAATTCCAGCAGGCTAGAGATGAAGGACCTGGTGACAGACGATGCTTTTTGTCTGGAAATCCCAAATCTGTTGAAATGGTAAGTTTTTTTCAAATGAGTATCCATTTTTCCACATGTTCAAAAAGTAATGGAAAAAATGCATTCAGATAAAGTATATTCAGGCATATACATTTTCTCTCAACATTCAGTTCGATAGCCAGTCATGAGACTTTTGTGAATTTTTGAAAGACACTCAAATATAGTATCAAAACTTTTCGAAATGTTAGGAAAAGAGTTGCCGAGATTTTACACATATAGAGTCTGCCATATACTGTTCATTAGTCGTAGTCAGATGTCATCTGGAATATATGATATGCCATTCAAAAAATTTAAAAGCAATGTCAATCCTCTTCACGAACTGGTGAAATGTATGGAACGCCGTTTTACTTTTTATTGTCACAAATATTCATTCCTCAATTTATTCACCTAACAATTTATTTGTTTGAATTTAATTGATTCATGCATTTGTTGGACACATTAAAAACGATTGTTCGAAAAAAAAAATTCTATTTTAAATGACGCTTGATTTAAAATGTTACACGAATAAAATTGTTATTTGAATAAAAAAGACTAATGAAATAACTTGAAGCTTTTATTGATTCCGAAGAAAAATATAGTTTCAGAGTATTGGAAAATGGAACGCCAATTTACTATATATTATGCTGAAAACTAATCTATATACATATAGTTCAACTCAGCAATGAACAAACATTTTTATTCAACAGTCAATGGAATGTATTATTTGAGTAAATTCAACAAACGTTTCAATTCCGCATATAATTTTGACCTTTGAATAAAATGTTAGTTATTTTAGCAACACTTTTGAGGTGTTTTTTTTCTCTTGTCTCTCAAATTCTATTAATTGATCTATATGTTCTATGATATATGAATTATTTACTATATCGTGAATAATTATATTCATACCTGTCACTGTACCTGGTCATTCTTCATTGCTTGCTCGTAATGTTTTGACCAAAAACAACACCGTAAACTTGCCTCATCCACTGTATTCACCAGAATACATGAAAAAGCGGCGTTTTGCGACGATTAAGGAGATAAAAACCGAATAGCTGAGAGAGGCTCGGGTACATACCAATAAGTGCATATCCGAACTGCTTCGAGGATATCAAAAAACGCTGAAACAAGTGTGTTATATCTGAGAGAGATTACTTTGAAGGGGACAAAATATAAATTGATGAATAAATGAATATTTTCCGAGACCTAGTATGTGGAACAGACCTAGTATGTGAAAGAGGAGGATCAATCTGTTTGATCTTTCTCTTGAAGATGATCACTTGGTGTTCGGAACACGTGTCAAGGTGTTGAAATAATGGTTTGATGTTGGGAAAAACTCCAGTAATATTCATTACTACACCAAAGGTTCCAAACAGCGTATCACAGGACCTAGTATGTATTTCGGTCCTGATATGTTGAGTATTACATTACTTCAATAACGAAGAAACATTGTCGACCACATTCAAATAAACATCCTTACAACTACATTGTGATACTTGATAACATCTACCTAGACAGTTGGTCAACACAAGATCGATAGCCCTTATTCGGGGTAGGTACACCAAAGATTTACGGCTACGACGGTCTAACGACTTTACGGAAAACCTGAGACTGGAAATTATCCCCTGCAGAATGGCCTCGGTTATTTTATGTGAATGTTGGCGGACCTCCAGGGAGACGACGGTGTGAAAGCTTCTCGTGTCTGAGATGATATCGCTTTGCATAGTTCCGCTATATATTAAATTCAGGGTTAGCAGTTTGTTTCATTGTTTCAACAGAATTTGTTGTAGGAAAGCAAACATGTCTGAATTTTTGAACTTGAATACACATTATGAATTGTACACATTCTTATTTTGGGAAAGTTTGAATATAACAGTCTCCATCCATGAGACTACCATGAGGTAGATGTTTATGTGTATATATTCTTTTAGGATATCTAGATATTATTAGAATATTACTGGAGTTTAGTCCCAACACCAAACCGTTAATTTTAACGATTATGGATACTAACAATCGAAACGTCGTGACGTAACTTGGTTTGAAATCTTTCAATTTTTATTTTTCATTTTTTGTTAATAATATTTTCATTTTTTATTTTCAGCTTTTATTAATATTTCAATTTTTATTTTTTGGTTGTTGCTTGTATGTTATTTCTTTGTAATTTCAGTTTTTGTTCAATAAAATTGTTATTTTCGGTTAATCTTTTAAATTTTTTTCAGGGATTTCGAATAAATTTATATTATATTAGACAATGGAAGTCCAAACTGATGAAATACGTTAATTTTAACACCTCGACACACGTGTTTTAATCATCTTCAAGAGAAAGATTGAACTGCAAGAGGAAGATGATCACTTGGTGATTGAAACACGTGTCGAAGTGTTAAAATAACGTTTTGGTGTTGGGATAAAAGTCCAGTAATATTCACTACTACACCAAAGGTTACAAACAGTACATCACAAGGTAATATTAATTTCAAATGTTATGTTGGTTATTCATGTATTTAAAGAATACAATTTCCCCATACCAGAACAAAAATACTGCCTCTTGACGCGTGTTTCGCTAACTAAGTGGTGATCATCATCAGTCAGATTTATTCAATGCCGGAGATTCCAATTGTTACTGTCAAAGTCTTATGTATCACCAGTATAGAAGAAAGACTCAGTAGAAATGTCAAAATGTTGATAATTCTCAACAGTAAGAAACACTGACTCTGATATCTATTCGCGATCATCCGATTTCATTTTTCAAAATCTTCCTTCGGGTTCCTACGTTCCTGAAGCTCGTTTCACTCGGTATACTAACATGCAGAAATAAAAAAAAAATCAAGTCGACTCTTTGTAACATTTCCAACTTCGTCAAAATTGAAAACGTTATTATAGAAAATCACAGTTTAAGATCAATAGAAAATGAGGGCCATAGGAGCTGTTGAAACATTCCTTTGGCTAAATTTCTGTGACCTTCAAAGCCCCCCAAATGAAATATCTGAAGAGGGAAATTCGGGAAATCATTCTGCATGTCTTTAGATGGTTACGTTCGGTTAGGTCAAAAATGAGTGGGTCTATTCGACCCTGCACCGTAACCCGCAAGGGTTCATTGTGGCTCAAACCTATTCACATTCGATCAAATAAACCCTGCTTCATAACGAATCTGATTAGTTTGTATAGTGAGTGGTCATTCAGGTCAGATGCTAAAAGAATGGCTCTGCCGAACTCTAAAAACCTGATTCGGTTCCCAGCGGGGTAGGCACAAAGTATGTGCTCTGCTGTTTCATCATTTTCCATACAGAGGCGAATCACACTGTCTTTCGACAGTCTGCTTATGATGATTCAGACGACAGTACCCAATATATTGTATCAGTGTTCTTTCGCGTGCATAAATATATCTGGTCTTTTCCAGTTGAAAAATCAATGTTGCTGTAGAGTGCGTAGTATTTAAAGATAAAGTAGCAAATACGGTGGGTATGAAAAAGAAAAATTGGAAACATTAAATTAATTTATTATTCATTTCATTTTGCAAAAGAAAATGGGAAGAGATGAAGTCTATTTAAAATAATATTTTTTGATATAACAAATAGGTATAACAATTTTCTATCATAATTTTTGGCAGTCCAGGTTCCTTTGTGATGTCAAATATGTAGGAATATTTTATTCAATGTGATCTACCATGAGATTTCCACAGATAGTTCCGTTATATCTATAATAAAGGCGAAAATAATTATGAAAATTTCAACCTTTGTTTCAATTCCATTCAAATACACTTCGGGTTCTTTCAACATAGAAATACAAATTTTACTACAGCAATATTTCTGATATTGGTTTTTATTCGTCATTTGAAATGTATCCTGTAAAAGGGATGGTTATCAACCCTTCCGTTTTGCTGTTGAATGTTTCGAATAAATAGTTAGTGTGACTGTGTTACAGAATTCCGCAAAACATTTCTACCGCAACACGCTTCCTGATTTTTTCTCCAGAATAATATTGTTCACTAATATATTTACTTTAAATAATTATTTCTGATTATATATTTCACTTGTATCAGTCAAAATGTTAGAAATCATATTTGAGTTTACCGAATAAAATGTTCTTTGATGGTTTTAATGTTTTTTGTTTCAGGTATATTTTCTGAACATCCTGAGCCATACATTAAAGCTTGTAAGTAACTACAATTTCCATTCAATTATGTTGGTAACGAATGAATAAACGAGTGATATATCGATTATAATATTAGAGAATACCATTTTTGGAACCGTTGACCATCCGTCGCAATGATCTATGAAGAGAAATTTGGAGTGTCAACATTTGGACTTTTTAATTATTATGTATACTCCTCAATGAAAAACAGTAAATGAATTATGAAAGCTTCAAATTTTTTGTGTAAGGTGTAACTTCAGTGCCAGAGAGTCGCAAATTTTAATCTTGGGATATCCCTTGTATTGTTTATGCTATTCATCGATATCCTGATGTACATTTCTCCAAGTGGGTTCATATACAGGGCTATTCAAATTCGTTTCTGTACATGGGGATCTCGTATCTTTGAAGATGATCACTTGGTGATCGAAACACGTGTCGAGGTGTTAAAAATAACGATTTGATGTTGGGAAAAAACTCCAGTAATATTCATTACTACACCAAAGGTCCCAAACAGTGCATCATAAGTTGGGAATCAAAGTTGGAATTTTTTATTCAATTTGAAGTGTTCTTGTTTTCCTCTAACATTGGAGAGGTGTATGTTTGCTATTTGAAGCAATTCGTCCAATCACTCCATTTTTCTGTGTGAGTGAATTCATCAAAGACGATATCATCGAATATCATCTAATATTTACATGTTATATGGTTTTTATATGAATATTTCTTCTTGCACTTTCAATAGGATGAAACAAAGACCAGAAAGCTCAGGCTAATGCCATAATTTGACCCTGTAAAGCTTTCCGAAAACGTGACATGTATGTCTTCTTCCCGTTGTTCACAGAATAATAGCTACACGGCAAAATTTGGTGTTGCAAGCCTTAAAGTACACACAAGGT